ACTACTTTAACTAAAAAAAGAGATCGGTCAGGTCTGACTTTCTTATTTCAGCTCTTGTGCCCTTTTTTTTTTTTTTTTTTGTCTTTCTTATTTTTCTGTACTTACAGGGAAGGGCGACACATCATTCTTAGTTGCTGTTGCATTTAACCTCCTGCTTAAATTACAAAGATTTTGGGTGGCTCAGTCAGTTAAGTGTCTGCCTTCGGCTCAGATCATGATCCCAGGGTCCTGGGATCGAGCCCCGCGTCGGGCTCCCTGCTCGGCGGGGACTCTGCTTCTCCCTCTGCCATTCAATGGTTCTTAGTTTATTCACCAAGTTGTGCAACCATCACCATAATCAGTTATAGAACATCTCATCACCCCCCAAAACCTTGTACCCACCCACTGTAATTCTCCGTTGGCCTCAACCCCAGGCAACCAGTAATTCATTTCCTGTCTCTAAAGATTGCCCTATTTCAGAGGACTTTCTTATGAATGGAATCATAGAATATGTGGTCTTTTTGACTGATTTCTTTCAATTAGCATGTTTTCAAGGTTCATTCATGATGTAGCATGTACCAGTACTTAATTTCTTTTTATGGATTTATAATATTCCATTTTATGTGAATTCTAATTGATATAAATAATATTCACATTACTTATCCATTCATCAGTTGACAATCATTTGGCATTATGAATAATGCCATTATGAACCTTTGTGTACAAGTTCTTGTGTGGATGTGTGTTTTTATTTCTCTTGGGCTTATACCTAGGAGAGGAATAGCTGGGTCACAGAGTAACTCTGTTTAACCTTTTGAGGTGACCTTTGTATTCCGACGCAGCTGCACCCTTTTATGTTTCCACCAGCAGGGCACAAGAGTTCCTATTTCTCTGTATCCTCGACAACATTTGCGATTGTCTGTATCTTTTGTTATAGCTATCCGAGGGGGTGTGCAGTGGTATCTCATGGTTTTGATTTGCATTTCCCTGATGGCTGATGATGTTGATCATCCTTTCATGTGCTTAATAAAAAGACGAGTAATCCTTTTTTTAAAAAAAATATGTATGTTTTTTAAAGATTTTTTTTATTTGAGAGAGAGAGAGAGCACATGAGAAAGGGGAGGGTCAGAGGGCGAAGCAGACTCCCCGCTGAGCAGGGAGCCCGATGTGGGACTCGATCCAGGGACTCCAGGAGGATCATGACCTGAGCCGAAGGCAGTCGCTGAACCAACTGAGCCACCCAGGCGCCCAAAAAAATATTTATTTGAGAGAGAGAACAGGGGGAGGGGCAGAGGGAGAGGGAGAAGCAGACTCCCCGCGGAGCAGGGAGCCCGATGCAGGGCTCGATCCCAGGATCCTGGGATCATGGCCTGAGCTGAAGGCAGATGCTTAACCGACTGAGCCACCCAAGCGTCCAGGAGGAGTAATCCCAGCCAGAGCAGCCTTTCTTTTGCTGTCCTTTGAGTCTTGCAGTGGATACGTGAACTCTGCCCTTCTCTGGCTCCTACCCTGTCCCTGGAGCCCGCCCAGGCCTGCAGTCCTCTCTCGGGCACGTGGTGCTCTTCTCAGTCACAGCCAGTGCTTCTGCCACCCACCTGCGTGGTGTGTGGTGGGGGTGCTAGGTCATCACACCCAGCCCCTGCCTGCCTCAGCAGTTCGCCCTCCTCACGCTCCATGCTGTGTACTCTGCACTTGGATGATCACTACATCCTCTCATAGTTTTCGCCTATTACTGTTCTGAGTGTCTTTTTCCTATTCTTATTAATCTGATGCCATCATCTTTCTATATTCTGAGAATTCCTCAAAATTCCTTGTCCACAGGTGATACCCCTAATTTAGAAAACATCTGTTCTCTCATTTAGGGCCTTGAGGGGAGAGTGGATGCATTTGTCTTAACCATTTTGGACCAAAATCTTGATTCAGTCACCTTCACTTATTATTCATCTGTAGTAATGAGATTATAAGAGCTTGGAGCAGTGCCTGGAACCCAGTAGGTGATTAACAAGTGTTTGCTCAGTGTCGAGTGAGTGAAGGTTCAGTACTTGGTACGTTAAGGTGCTCTCATGAAGATGGTGGAGTAGGAAGATCCTGGAATCACCTTGTCTCATGGATACACCCAGATAATATCCACGTCAGTGTAAATAACCCCAAAAAATGACCTGAAGACTGGCAGAACAAATTCTCCACAGCTAAACGTAGAGAGGAGGCCATGTTGAAGAGGGTAGGAAGGGCAGAGACAGGGTTGGAAGCCAGATGGACCTGTGGGACTGTACATGGGGGGAGGGACACCATGGGCTCAGAGAGGGGAGAAGAGCAGATCCCATCCAGGAACCCCAGGTATGAAGAACCTGCGCTGGGAAGATGGATCCCCATAACATTAGTTTTGAAAACCAGAGGGGCCTAACTTTGTGAGTTCTTAAAATCAGTGGGGCTTAACACCTAGAACTTTAAAAATCAACATGCTTGGCTCTGGAAGAGCTGGGAGACCAAGAGGAAACTGAAGTCCCACCCTTACAGAGACTGTACAACTAACAGCCCCATGGAGATACAGCATAGAAACAGCAGTTTGATAAACTCCTTGGGTGTATGGGAGGGAGATTTATTTACTAATCTCGGAGTGTCTGCTGGAGGGGCATGGTATCTTTTGGGAGACTTCCTCAAGAACAAAGGAGCTGGCAGATGCCATTTCCCCCCTCCAGCTCCCAGCCAGATACACAGACACCCATGGGAACCAGTGTAGTGCAGCACTCTCCACCTAGCTTGCTAACAGTGTATCCCATGCCACACTCTTCTGTGGACCCACATCCTCCATCCTGGCCTGGGTAGTTTTCCTGGGCAGCTGCAGGTCCCTTCCTGCAGGGGACTGGTGCAGACCTTGTTGGCACTGCATTTCCCACCCCCACGTTTTCCTGCAGACCCACCCACTAACAACACAGGGACCAAACCCTGTCTACAACAGGCAGTCAGCCATTGCAGAGAATTGGACTGAAGGCAAATGCCACAACAGTAGGGTGCACATAGGAGACACCCCTAGGTTCTAGTGAACAGGGAACACCACACAAAGCAGGGCACTATAGGACCTCTCCTTCATAAGGCCACTAATTTCAGGAGCAGGAGACCTAGCTGACTTTCCTAACACATAGAAACAGACAGAGTTAGACAAAATCAGAATCTGACAGAAGAATCTGTCCCAAGTGAAAGAACAAGACAAAATCACAGCAAGAGAGCTAAATCAAATGGAGATAAATAATATGCCTGATAGAGAATTTAAGGTAATGGTCATTAGGTACTCACTGGACTTGAGAAGAAAGTGGAGGACCTCAGTGAAACCCTCAACAAAAAGAAAACATTAAAAAGAACCAAGAAGAGATGAAAAACTCAATAACTTAAATTAAAAATACACTAGAGGGAATAAATAGCACACTAGGGGAAGCAGAAGAATGGATCAGCGACCTGGAGGACAGAGTAATGGAAAGCAATCAAACTAAACATAAGAGAGAAAAAAGAATAATAAAAAATGAACACAGATTAAGGGAGCTCAGTGACACCATCAAGAGTAATAACATTGGCATCATAGGGATCCCAGAAGGATGAGAGAGAGAAAAGGGGACAGAAAATGTATTCAAAGAAATAATAGCTGAAAACTTCCCGAATCTGGGAAAGGAAACAGAAATCCAGATCCAGGAGACAGACAGCTCCCACCAAATCAACCCAAGGAGGGCCACACCAAGATACATAGTAATTAAAATGGCAAAAAAGTAGTGATAAAGAGGGAATTGTAAAGCAGCAAGATAAAACAACTACATACCAGGGAAACCCATTCAGGCTATGAGCTGATTTTTCAGCTGCGATTTTGCAGGCCAGAAGAGAGTGGTGTGATACCTTCAAAGTGCTGAAAGAAAAAAACCTGTAGCCAAGAATACTCTATCCAGCAGGTCTATCATTCAGAATAAAAAGAGAGATAGGATTTCCCAAACAAAAGTTAAAAGAATTCAATACCACCAAACCAGCTGTATAAGAAATGTTAAAGGGGAGGGGACTCTTTTTGTAGAAAGAACATAAATAAGAATAAGAAAAGTAGGAAGCACAAAAGCAGTAAATTAAGTATATCTATAAAAATCAGTCAAGGAATTCATAAAATAAGAGGATGTAAAGTATGACACCACATACCTAAAATGTGTGGGGGAGAGGAGGAAAAATTTAGTGATTTTAGAATGGGTTCAACCATCAACTTACTACAAACTGCTATTATGCATAAGATGTTATATTTAAACCTAACGGTAACCACAAGTCAAAAACCAGTAATAGGTACGCAAAAAATAAAGAGTACTGGAAGTCCTAGACACAGCAATCAGACAAGAAAAGGAAATAAAAGTCATCCATATTGGTAAGGAAGAAGTAAAATTTTCACTATTTGCAGATGACATGATACTCTATATAGAAAACACAACTCCACCAAAAAACTACTAGAACTGATAAACAAATTCAGTAAAGTCACAGAATACAAAATTAATATACAGAAACCCATAGCATTTCTATACACTAATGATGAAGCAGCAGGAAGAGAAATTAAGAAACCAGTCTCATTACAATTGCACCAAAAACAGTAAGATACCTAGGAATAAACCTGACCAAAGGGGTGAAAGACCTGTACTCTGAAAACTATAAAGTTGATGAAAGAAATTGAAGATGACACAAATGGAAAGACCGTCAACGCTCATGAATTGGGAAAACAAATATTGTTAAAATGTCCATACTACCCAAAGCAATCTACAGATTTAATGCAATCTCTAGCAAAATACCAAGAGCATTTTTCACAGAACTAGAACAAACAATCCTAAAATTTGTATGAAACCACAAAAGACCCCAAATAGCCAAAGGAATCTTGAAAAAGAAGAACAAAACTGGAGGTATCACAATCCCAGATTTCAAGATACACTACAAAGTTGAAGTAATCAAAACGGTATGGTACTGGCACAAAAATACACACATAGATCAATGGAACAGAATAGAAAACCCAGAAATAAACACAATTATATGGTCAATTAATTTCGACAAAGCAGAAAAGAATACGCGCTGGGAAAAAGTCTCTTCAACAAATGGTATTGGGGAAACTGGACAGCTACATGCAAAAGAATGACACTGGACCACTTTCTTACATGCTATGCAAAAATAAACTCAAAATGGATTAACGACCTAAATGTGAGACCCAAAACCATAAAAATCCTAGAAGAGAGGTAGTCAGTAATTTCTTTGACGTGGGCACAGCAGGTTCTTTCAAGTTACGTCCCTTAGGCAAGAAAAACAAAAGCGAAAATAAACTATTGGGACTACATCAAAATAAAAAGCTTTTCCACGGCAAAGGAAACAATAAACAAAACAAAAAGACAACCTACTGAATGGGAGGAGGTATTAGCAAATGACATCTGATAAAAGGTTAATACCCAAAATATATAAAGAACTCATACAATTCAGCACCAAAAAATCAAATAATCCAATTAAAAAATGAACAGATATTTCTCTAAAGAAGACATCCAGATGGCCAACAGACACATGAAAAGATGCTCACCATCACTCATCACCAGGGAAATGCAAATCAAAACTACAATGAGATGTCACTTCACACCTGTCAGAATAGCTAATATCAAAAACACAAGAAACAAGTGTTGGCAAGGATGTGCACTGTTGGTGGCAATTCACACTAGTGCAGCCACTGTGGAAAACAGTATGGAGGTTCCTCAAAAAATTAAAAGTAGAATTACCATATGATCCAGTAATCACACTACTGGGTATTTACCCAAAGAATATGAAAACACTAATTTGAAAAGATCTAAGCACCCCTATGTTTATTGCAGCATTGTTTACAATAACAAAGACATGGAAGCAACCCAAGTGCCCATTGATAGATGGAAGGAGATGTGATGATGTATGTAATGGAATATTACTCAGCCATAAAAAAGAATGAAATCTTGCCATTTGCAACAACATGGATAGATCTAGAGAGTATAATGCTAAGTGAAATAAGTCAGAGAAAGATAAATACCATATGGTTTCATTCATGTGTGAAATTTAGTTAAGAAAATGAGCAAATTAAAAAAGAGACAAACCAAAAACCAGACTTAAATATAGAGAACACAGTGATGGTTACCAGAGGGCATGTGGGTGGGGGGATGGGGGAAACAGGTGATGGGGATTAGTAGTAGATTTACCATGATGAGCAGTGAGTAATGGATAGACGTGTTGAATCACTATATTGTAGACCCAAAACTAATATAACACCATATGTTAATTATACTGGAATTAAAATAAAATTTTTAAAGAACAGATACTCATGAACTAAGAGTGTATTGCCTCCTTGTGGGCCCCTCAGCAGCAGAATGGAGAGTGTGTTCCACGGAACAAACTCAGCAACTGAAGCTGCTTTAGAGGAGCATTCGCATTGGCTATATCCATGTGCTGTGATGATGGGTGACTTATATTCCTTATAGTTTTCTGAACTTTTACAATAAATTACTTTTTAAATGTGGAAAATACTTTTGTTAAGCTGTATCTAAATGAACTTTCAAAAGAGGTTATTTTACAAGATTAACCTTGGTCTGTGTGCTTTTTTCCCTCAGCGGTCACCTTTGTGCCAGTATCCAAGGTGAACGGGCAGGTGGAGGTTGAGGACATCCTGGCTGCTGTCTGCCCGGCCACGTGCCTCGTGACTATCATGCTGGCCAATAACGAGACTGGGGTCATCATGGTGAGTCATTTATCCTTTTAAGAAAATGTGAGGAATGAAGGGGGCCCAGACTCTGCTTGATGTTCTCGTGCATCTTACCCGGGGCCTCTTCTTTCTCCTTCTTTATCTTCATCTTCGTCATTTTTGTCTTCGTCGTTGTCTTCATCTTCTTCCTTTCTTCTTCCCCCTTCCCCCTCCTCCCTCCTCCTCTTGCCCCCTTCCTCCTCCTCCTCTCCTCAGTAATGACTCCTTATTTCTTTCATTCAGTTTTCATGAAATCAAAGAGACATTCTCAACTGTTTATTTTCCCCTACTTCAGCCCATCTCTGAAATCAGTCAGCGAATTAAAGCCCTGAACCAGAAGCGGGCAGCTTCCAGGCTGCCGGTCATTCTGCTACACACAGATGCGGCACAGGCCCTGGGGAAACGGCGCGTGGATGTGGAGGACCTGGGCGTGGACTTCCTGACCATCGTTGGGCACAAGGTGCGTCCACAGAGGCTTCCTTCCTTCCATGACCTCGAGGCTCACCTTAGAGCAGAGCCCACGGCACCCCTGATTGTCCATTGGTTGTCCAGTGCTGTCGGGGGACACAGTGGTGCAATTGGCAGCCCCCACCCTCACGAGCTGAAGAAGGAGAGACCAGCAGCACCCCAACTTGGGACAGGAGGGGGTGGCCAGGCAGGGCTGTGGAAGGACATAGAGGCCTCAGGTGAGACATAAGGCAGGTGGCTTCAGCCAAATATTGAGTGTTCTTTGCAGTGGGCAGAGAGCACCTGTAGACCCCTCATCAGCCCACTCATAGGCCCCCACCCCAAGGATGGAAGATGTGAGATTCAAGATGTTGCTTGCTCTAACTTGATTTAAAGTGCAGCTCTATGCAGTGGTTTTGTTTTACCAGCTCTTACCTTAAATGTGGAAGAGAGGAAACAATAGTGAGGACCCTTCTGAGACTTCACTCATCTTTCTGGCAGCTGACTAGAACCTGAAATATTTGTAGTCCTCTATGTTGAAGCATGGTGCTCAGCTAGTTTCCAAAGGAGGATGTGTGCTGACCCGACACTGTGGCACTTAATGATTTTTGCAAAATGTCCGTTTGAAAATGTGGAGTCATACCCAGGAAAAGCCCTTGGCAATCTCTAGTTCCAGCCCCTCTCCTTTTACAAATTCTGTTCTGTGATGTGCAGTCAAGCTCTGCTGCCCCAGGCTAGGAACAAGAGTCCAGGCTCTGCCCTGCACCCCCAAGGACTTTTGTGACTCTGACATGTCCAGAGTGGTGATGGGTAGCACAGCTGTGGGACCCATAGGGTACAGAGTATTTCTCTGTGTGCCTCTAAGCACTCAGTATGCATACCGAGTAGGAACTCAGAAGGTTCCTGCTGAATAAATGACTGACTTTTCCTTTCAGTTCTATGGTCCCAGGATTGGAGCACTTTACGTCCGAGGGCTTGGTGAACTTACCCCTCTGTACCCTATGCTGTTTGGAGGTGGACAAGAACGGAATTTCAGGCCAGGGTAAGATAGAAGGTTAACGAAGTCTCTGGCCTACTGACCATCCTGTTGGTCTGTAGGGCAGGAACTTTTCTTTGTCTCTTAGGAGAACTGTTAATAACACATTCTACCTCACTACTGAGTCAGAATTTGCTGCACTGATAGATTCTGCACATTCACAGATCTTCAGTTTCTATGGGGATGATTCAAAGCTGGAGCCTCCTGGCTGAGATGTGCTGCTCTTCTCATGAGGGTGGGATGAGCAGGGTTGCACAGTAGCACCTGGCTTCCTTTCTGATAGCTCCTGTGTCCCTGCGATAGAAGCTGATACTGTAACCAGGGAAGGAGGTGGTACCAGGGCCACACCTTCTATCAGAAATTCTAACAAGAAGGAGAAACAGGAACAACGTGGTAGTGGGTTCCCTGGGTTTTCTTTTGCCTTTGTCCCTGACTTAGAGCTGATGAAGCCTGTAACTCAGAAACACTAATGAGGGCAGAAAAAAAAAAAACAAAAACAAAACAATGTCCAACCAAAGCCAACTCTCACTAGACAATGGACCAGGAACAGGACAGCCTAGCAAGTCAGAGAACTTTTTAGACAATACCCACTTTACTCTGGCCAATCACCACATGGTAAACTGCTGCCATCCCGACCCGTGCCAGCAAAGGCAGGACAGGGAGCCCAGACTTCCACCTGCGCAGCCTGTGACAAGATCTTCTCCTACCCACCCCAGGTGTGTCAGAGGGGGCCTAGTAGGGAGCCAGTAACGAGGTACCCTCACCGTGGTGTCCATGGAGACCACCAGGGCTTCCACCCACAGCTTTACTGACAAAGTGTGTCTTGGCGTTGCATGTTGACACAGGCTGAGTAGGGAACCCAGATTCCTACCTTCACCTGGCAGCAGTGAGCTGGCATACTCCTTTGCCTGCCACAGCAGTGTCAAAAGAAGCCAGCTAAAATAGAAGGGTTAAGTAAGGGACATGAAAATGTCCAGGTTTCCATTGAGAACCACTCATCATATCAAGAACAAAAAAGATCTTAAATTGAATTAAAAAAAAAGAATAGATTCCAGTACTGACACTGAGATGACAAAGATGTCAGAATTATCTGACAAAGATTTTAAGGCAGACATAAGAAAAAATGCTTCAACGAGCAATTATGAACCCAGTTGAAATGCATGAAAGTGCCAACAAGAACAAAGAAGATATAAAGAAGAACTAAGTGGAAATTTTAGAACTAAAAACAACAGCAACCAAAGTAAGCACAGTGGATGGGCACACCAGCAGAATAGGGGCAACAGAGGAAAGAACCCATGAACTGAAAGAGAACAATAGAATTACCCAATCTAAGCATCAGGGAGGAACTAGACTGGGAAAAAAAACACACCTCAGGGACCTTGTAGGGACTATAGGAGAAGATCTAACGGTCATTTCATTGACATCCTAGGAAGAGAGGAGAAAAGGTGGGCTGAAAAAGAACTCGAAAAAATAATGGCTGAAAACTTCCCAAATTTGGCAAGAGACATAAACCTACAGATTCAAGAAGCTGAACAAACCCCAAGCAGGGTAAACCGAAAGAAATCCTTGCCAAGGCACATAGTTAAACTTCTGAAAATGAAAGGCAAAGAAAAATCTTGGAAGCAGCCAGAGGAAAAAAATGACACCTTTCCTACAGGGTGAAAATAATTCAAATAGCAGTGTATTTCTCATCAGAAACCATGGAGACCAGAAGGAAGTGATGCAGTATTTTGCAAGTGTTGAAAGCATTGTCAAGCCAGAATCCCATATGCAGCAGAAATATCCTTCAGGAATAAAGGGAAAATCAAGACGTTCTCAAATAAAGGAAAACAGAATTTGTCACCAGAAGACCTATGCTAAAAATTTCTAAAGGAAGTTCTTTAAACAGAAAGGAAATAGTAAAAAAAAGGAAACTGGGAACATCAAAAGAAAGAAAGAGAGCAGTGTAAGCAAAGTATGGGTAAATAAAATAGGCTTTTTTCTTGAGTTTTCGAAATTGTATTTGATGGCTTAAGCAAAAATTATAGCACGTATGATGTGGTTTCAAATACACATGGAAGAAAAATTTAAGATAATTATAAATGGAGGAGGACTAAAAGGATGTAAAAGGAGATAAGGTTTCTGTTCACTTGAACTTCCGAAAAATGTTCAAATAACCCACTGAGAGGTAGGAAGAAGAAAACAGAGAAACAAAAAACAGAACAAACAAAAAAAATTTTTAATGGGTGACCTAACCCTAACATTAATTACATTAAATGTAAATGGTCTAAATACAGCAATTAATAGAGATTGGCAGAGTGAATTTTTTAAAAAATTGACCCAACTGGGGTGCTTGGGTGGCTCAGTCAGTTGAGAGTCTGACCCTTGGTTTCAGCTCAGGTTGTGGTCTCGTGAGTCATGAGATCGAGCCCATGTCAGGCTCCATGCTCAGCAGGGAGTCTGCTTAAGATTCTCTCCCTCTGCTCCTCCCTTCACTTGTGCTTGTGTGTGTGCGCTCCTGTTCTCTCTAAAATAAATCTTAAAAGAAAAAAAAAATGACCCAACTGCAGTTGACCCTTGAACAACGCAGGGGTTAGTGGTGCCGATTCCCTGCACAGTTGAAAATCTACATGTAACTTTTAACTCCATAAAACTTAACTGCTCATAGCCCCCTGTTGACTGGAAGCCTTACTGATAACATAAGCTGTTAGTTAACACATATTTTATATGTTATATGTATTATATACTATATTCTTACAATAAAGTATGCTAGCAAAAAGAAAACGTTAAGACAATTATAAGGAGGAGAAAACGCATTTACAGTACTGTAAAAAATCTGCATGAAAGTGGACCCATGAAGTTCAAACCTGTGTTGTTCAAGGGTCAACTATATGTGGTACATATAAGAAACTCACCTCAAATATATTGATAGAGGGAGGTTGAATATTAAAAATGGAAGAATAGGTATCACATAAACATTAATCAAATGGAAGCAGGAATGGTTATATATTAGATAAAGGAGACTCCAGAGCAGAGCAAATCACCAGAGCCACAAAGGGGACATTATATAATGATAAGAGTCAGTCCACCAAGAATTCCTAGCCATCCTAAATGGTGATGGAGTACACAACAGAGCTGCAGAGTATGTGAGGCAAAAACATATTGAACTGAAAAGAGAAATAGACAAATCCACAATTACAGATGGAGACCTCAGTACCCTTCTCTCAACAATGAATACAACAACTAGATAAAAATCAACCAGGATATGGAAGAACTCAATAACAGCCAACAACCAATAGTACCTAATTGAAGTATTTAGAACATTTCACCCAACAATAGCAAAATACATACTCTTTACAAGTGCCACAGAATATACACTAAGATAGACCATGTCCTGTGTCATTAAACAAATCTCAATACATTTGAAGAACCGAAATCATACAGAGTGTTTTCTCATCACAGTGGAATCAAACCAGAAATCAGTAACTAGAAGGTAATGGGAAAGTCTCCAAACACTTAGAAACAAACAACACACTTCTACATAAACCATGGGTCAAACAGGATTCCTCAAAAGAATTAAATACATCAAAATGAATGAAAATGAAAATATACCTTATCAAAATTTGTGAGACAGCCAAAGCATGGCTGAAAGGGAAATTTATAGCGCTGAATGTATATGTTAAAAAAGATGATGACTCTCGGGGCACCTAGGTGGCTCAGTCAGTTAAGTGTCTGACCTGATTTCAGCCCAGGTCATGATCTCAGTCAGGGTCATGAGATCAAGCCCTGTGTTGGGCTCTGAGCTCAGTGGGGAGTCTGCTTGAGATTCTCTCTTTCCCTCTCCCTCTGCCCCGCCCCCACTCACGAGCACTCCCTAAATAAATAAATCAATCTTAATTTAAAAAAGATGATGACTCTGAAGTCAATAAGCTTTCACCTGAAGAACTTAGAAAAAGTAGAGCAAAATAACCCCAAAGCAAACATAAGGAAATACTAAAGAACAGAAATTAGTGAAATTGAAAACAAAAGTAATTTTTTAAAGATTTTATTTATTTGTTTTTAGTGAGAGAGCAAGAGCAGAGGGAGAGGGAGAAAGAGAATCTCCACTTAGTGCAGAACCTGTTGGAAGGCTTGATCCCATGACCCTGAGATCATGACCCAAGCCAAAATCAAAAGTTGGGCGCTGAACCAATTGAGTCACCCAGGCACCCTGAAAACAAAAATAATTTTTTAAAAATAATTGAAACAAAGAAATAGCCTTTTAAAAATATTGATAAAACTGACAAATCTCTCACAGTATTGTACACCTGAAACTAATATAATACTGTATGTTAAGAATACTGGAATTAAAAGAAAAACTTAGTAAATTAAAAAAAAAAAAAAAACAACACCTGACAAACTTCTAGTAAGACTGACAAAAAATTGCCAAAATCAAATTTGACAATTCAGATGAAGTGGAATACTTCATCAAAAAACAAATTACCACAGCTCACCAAATAGGAGATTTGATCATTTAAATAGCTTTATAACTATTAGGAAAAGGAAATTAATTTTGTAATTTTAAAACTCTTCAAAAAGAAATCTCCAGGCCCAGGTAGTTTCACAGGAAAATTCTACCAAACACTTAAAGAATTCACACCATTCTATGCAGTCTCTTCCCAAAAAATAGGAGGAGGGAACATTTCCCTGGTTCATTTTATGAATTTATACCAAAACCAGACAAAGATGGTACAAAACAATAAAACTATGGACCAAATATCTCTCATGAATTTAGCTGCAGAAGTCTTTAACAAAATCTTAGCAAATGGAATTCAGCAATATATAAAAATAATATATACACAGAGATGGAGTTTGTTCCAAGAACGCAAGGCTGTTTCAGTATTTCAAAATCAATCAATGTAAGGTAGCATGTTAAAGAAGAAAAATTGGGGCGCCTGGGTGGCTCAGTTGGTTGAGCGTCTGACCTTTGATCTCAGCTCGGGTCTTGATCTAGGATCGTGAGTTCAGGCCCTGTGCTGGGCTCCACACTGGGCATGAAGCCTACTTAAAAACAAGAAAAATAACATAATTTAATGCATAAAAAGCATTTAATAAAATTCAACATTCATTCATTAAAAACTCTCACAAAATGACTAGAGGAGAACTTCTTCAGCTTGAAAAGAGCATTTACAAAAAAACCTACTGCCAACATCACACTCAACAACGAAGGCCTGAATGTTCTACTCCTATGACAGAACAAGCTGAGGATGTCCACTCTCACTTCTTTTTCAGCAGTGCTGGAAGTTCTAGTCAGTGCAGAAGGCAAGCAAAGGAAATATAAGGAATACAGATTGGAAAGGAAGTGGTAAAACTGCCCCTTTTTGTAGATCACATGATGGTCTCTGTAGAAAATCCCAAGGAACATATAAGAAAACTCCTAGGACTGATGAGTGAATTCAGCAAGATCATAGGTTACAAGATAAGCATACAAATATTGATTATATTTCTCTCTATTGGTAAAGAATGTATGAACAACAAAATTAAAAATACAGTACCATTTATAATCACTCAGGAATACTCAGATATAGGACTTGTAAGCTGACAACTACCAATGTGGCTAAAAGAAAGCAAAGATCTAAGTATGTGGAGAGACATTCTGTGTTCATGGATCAAAAGACTCAATATAGTAAAGGTCAGTTCTCCCCAAAATGATATATCAGTTTAGCCCAATTTCTATCAAAAGCCCAGCAAGTAGACCAATGGAACAGAACAGATACAACCGGAAATATGCCCAAATGACTTTTGACAAAGATACAGAAGTAATTTGGTGGAGGAAAGACACTCTCAGCAGACGGTACAGGAGCAATTAGACATCCTTATGCAGACGACAAACCTCAACCTAAGTCTCACAGCTTGTAAAATACTAACTCAAGATACATGATGAACTTAAATGTGAAACATAAAACTATAAAACTTTTAGGGGAAAAAAAAAACAGGAAAACATCTTCAGGCTCTAGGCCTCAGCAAAGAGATCTTAGACTTGATACCAAAAGCATCCATAAAAGGAAAAATTGATAATTGAACTTCATCAAAATTTTTTTTTTTAAAGATTTTATTTATTTATTTATGAGAGAGAGAGGGGGAGAGAGAGAGAGAGACAGAGGGAGAAGCAGGCTCCCAAGGAGCAGGGAGCCCGACGCGGGACTCAATCCCAGGACTCCGGGATCATGACCCGAGCCAAAGGCAGACGCTCAACCATCTGAGCCACTCAGGCACCCTGAACTTCATCAAAATTTAAACCTTTCTCCCTGCAAAACAATTTGTTAAGAGGATGAAAAGACAAGCTATGCACTAGACTATGTCCTCAAAGGACCAGTATCTAGAATACATAAAGAAAAGTCTCAAAATTCAACAGCCAAAACCCCCAAACAATTCAGTCAAAAAATGGGCAAAAGACACTCACAGACATTTCACCAAAGAGGATACACAGATAGCAAATAAGCACATGAAAAGATATTGAACGTTTTTAGCTATTAGGGAAATGCAAATTAAAATCACAATGAGAGGGCGCCTGGGTGGCTCAGTTGGTTAAGCGACTGCCTTCAGCTCAGGTCATGATCCCGGAGTCCTGGGATCGAGTCCCACATCGGGCTCCCTGCTCGGCAGGGAGTCTGCTTCTCCCTCTGACCCTACCCCCTCTTGTGCTCCCTCTCTGTGTTTCAAATACATAAAATAAAAAATCTTTAAAAAAAAAATCACAGTGAGACATCACACCTACCGGAACGACTAAGACAAAAACTAGAGACAACGTGGAGTGCTGTTGAGGATGCAGAGACTCAGCTTCACTCATACACGGCCAGGGGGTGGAAATGGGACAGCTGCTCTGGAAAACAGCCTGGCATTGTCTCTTAAAACTAGATTTGTGCCCACCATACAACCTAGGAATTTCACTCCTGGACACGCATCCCAGAGAAATGCAGACTTACGTTCCCACAAAAGCCTCGACACAAGTGTGTCTAGCGGCTTTATTTGCGATGGCCACAAAGTACAGGGAGCTCAGATGTCCTGTAACGAGTGGCTGGCACATCTGTGTGTGGAAAAGCCTGGACGCAAGTGTGTCTAGCAGCTTTATTTGCAATGACCGCAAAGTGCAGGGAACTCAGATGTCCTGTAATGAGTGGCTGGCACATCTGTGCGTGGACACTACTCAGTCATGGAAAGGGATTAGCTGTTGATACACACAGCCGCCTGCAAGGAATGTCCAGAGAATCGTGCTGAATGAAACAAGCCAATCCCCCAGAATTATAACTGATTCCATTTATAGAACATTCTTGAAATGACAGAATTAGAGATGGAGAACAGGTTAGCAGTTGCCCGGGGCTAAGGAAGGGATGGGGCCCAAGGCAAACGGGTCTGACTATAAAAGGCCAACAGGAGGGACCTTGGTGGTGGTAGAAACGTTCTGTATCTTACCCACAACCTGGTTGTGATCTTGGACCACAGCATTACTGGGAAGCTGAGTAACAGCTATACAGAATGTCTCTATATTGTTTCTTATAACCACATATGAATCTACATTATCTTTAAAACAAAGTTTAATTAAAAAAAAAGAAGAAGAAGAGGTAGAACATCATGTGTTCGGGAAGCCCTAATAGGGTAGCTCAGCATGTGGACTGGGAGTGGGAAGCAGGGTTTGCATGACTCCAGAAGGAGGCAGAAGAGGTTGACCTAATGCTCGGGTGGGGGTGGGAGGACAAGCTCCAGGTTCTACGCAGGGTCCCAGCTTCACCTGGGCAGCTCCTCTAGCCACTTACAGGGCACAGACCTTGAGAGATGCTCTTGGTCCGGCCGTGCTGCCCCACAGATGAGGGGGGTGAGGCCCGAAGAGGGGATGGCATTAGGATCCCAGGGGTCGAGGAGCCAGACGTAGGATAAGCTCAGACCTCTGGATTCTCCATGCAGACTCCTTACTCTTCCCAGACTATCCCCAGGTGTCAGAGCCTGTCTCCGGGGACAGAACTGACCAATGAACTTGTCAAAGGGAGATCAGCAGGATCGCGTTACCTGTAATGCCTTGTGCTTCCTGTTTGCTTCTCTGGTTATCTGCGGGTCAGCAGTGGCAGCCGGCTCCCAAGGCTTAAGCAACTTTAGCCAAAACTTAAAATTCAGAGAATTATTACGTTAGTGATTTATTTTGTTTTTCCTGAAAATAGAGTGAAGAGTTCTGTTTTCGGCTTGTTAGGTCTGAGGGAGAGCCTCCGGTCTTCAGGGGTCCTCCTGCCCTTTCCTGCACACACACAATCTCTAGTAACCAATGACTCTTCCCATGAGACAGTTGAGAGGCTGCAGCTGAATGGTCAGCTGATGGGAACAGCGCGGGGCTGGCGTCTTTGGACCCCCGCCGGGTTCGACAAGGGGGCCCTGGGCTTTGCAGCTGGAGGAGGGATTTCTCCTGTGTAGGAAAAGGGCCCAGACAGAATTGCCCGTGTGGACACCCAGCGTATGTTGCCCAAGGCAGGCCGTGTGGACGGTGAGTGGACCAGGAAGCTGGGCGTGGAGGGTTTGGGGACTGCAGCGCCATGGAGGCGCTGCCCATGGCACGTGTTTAGGAAAGATGTGGGTGTGATTTTGTTTTCAGTTGAACCCATGATTTTCACAGACCGGATTCCGTCCTAGGACATTTGTTCATTGCTTTGCGTGGAAATAGGATTGAATCCCTTGTCTCTTACAGGACCGAGAACACGCCGATGATTGCCGGCCTTGGGAAGGTAAGCCTTGGTGAGCTTGGGCAGATGGAGCAGGTGCTTCGTCTCGTGTGTGGGAAAACCTGAGTCTCCCTCCAGCTGAGTGTCCTTTACTCCCTCGTGCCCGCCACGTGCACAACACTCCCAACACCGGAGGTGGGTGTCGGGGGCAGGTTTCCATACAGCAGTTCTGTGACACCAGCTGGGTGTCCCGCCATTGAACTGGATTCTGACACTGGCTACCTGGAGACAGGTCAGGGGCTCAGGCCCACAGGACTGCCCGCCCAGCACCCCTTCAGACACCAGGTGTAAGTCCCAGGTGTCACCTGTTTCTGACTGGCCAGCTCTCCATCGGAGGCTCCCATGACCCCTCCTCGGGTTCACTTAGTTTGCCAGAACAGCTCACAGACTTTCAGAAACACTTGGCTCACTAGACGACTGGTTTATTGTGAAAGGATATGCTAAAGGAGACAGATGAACATCCAGTCGGAAGAGACGGGGGGCGGGGGCAAGGCATGGGGGAGGGTCGCCACCCTCCCAGCACCGGCACGTGTTCGGCAACCTGGAAGCTCTCCAAACCCATGCTATTGGGATTTTTGTGGGGATTTGATCAATCATTAACTCCATTTTTAGCCCCTCTCCCCTCTCCGGAGAATGGGGGTGGGGGTGTAAATTCCAAGCTTCTACTCGTGACTTTCAGTGGCCAGGGCCCATCCAGGGGCCCACCCAGAGTCACCACATTGGAACAAAAGACGTTCCTATCTCCCAGGAAATTCCAAGGGATTTAGGATCTCAGTGTCAGGAACGACAGTCCAAATATTAGAACCAGAGATGCTCCTAGTGTTCCTATCACTTAGGAAATTGCCGGGGTTTCGGGAGCTCGGTGCTGGGACCGGAGCAGAGACCTGTAGACTTTCTATCATCTTACAGTCCATTCCCCCAACGGCTTTACCAGGTATCCAGGGCCTTAGGGAGATCATGTTCGTGAGCCCAATAAATGGACTGAAGTTAGAAAAAGCCTCAAATTGTATTTATCACCCCAGAGTGTACTTTTTGAGATCCGTAGAGTGGATTGATTGCTTGTGTTTAGCACTGACACGGAAAAGCTCTTTTCAAGCCTCTGCTAATATAAGAAATACAGTGACGTCTTTACAGCAGAGACCCACAGTCGGGCCCACGGGTGGCTTGTTCCCTAGGGCCGTCTCCACCCCCCAAGCCCTGGCTGTCCCGCTTAAAAGATGCAGCTTGATGGCAGCCCACCGGCTCGCTGGCCCCTCAGCTCCAGCCTGCAGCTGCACCTCCCCCAGGTTCTCTGACCCGCCCTGACTCCCCACTGCCCTCTGTGCATGCAGTCTGGCCTTTCACACCCCCAGCGAAGCCCCTCTTCCCCGGAGCTACCTCCCAGGCTAAGTCCAGGTGTCTTCCCGGCTTCCCACCGCCCCTTTCCCTGTGTGCCTCCTGAAGAAGGGCCCCTCCTGCAGTCGTCGCCTCTGCCGGTCCTCCTGATCCTCTCCACTAGAATGTTCCAGCCTCCACAGCCCTGCAACCTCCTCCCCTCCCTCCCGTTCCTGACACCCAGTCTCACTCCTTTCTCCTCTCCCCCAGCAGGTGAGGAGGCCCAGCCCCGTGCACCGCTGCTGGCATGCCTACCCCAGCCAGTTCCCCTCCGCCCCGGCCAGGCCTTGGCCTCCTCACCTGCTGGTGGGCCTCCCAGCACCATCCCAGCCTCCTCTCCACAGCTGCTCCCTCGTGGCACTCGTCCTGGCCTGCAGCTCCACCAGCCTGTGCTCAGGGGTTTGAACTTGGCATCTCAGGGCAGGTCCTGACCTTTCTGAGAAACCCAGGTCCCCACCTGCTTACTTGACGTTCCCTCTGGGCCCGCATGTGTGTCTCTCCTCCCTGGTTCCCCTCTCTCCCCATGGTGCCTCCTGCCGTCCGGGACCTCACTTCTGAAATCTAGGCGGTGCCTTGGTCCCTCCTGGTCCTTGTCTGCACTGATGAGCAGCCAGTCAGTCCTGTCTGTCCTGTCTCCACAGTGTATCGAGGTCTGCGTCTTGTGTGACTCTGGACCAGGTCATCCCCATCTGTAGTCTGGATGCCTGCCTGACCTGGTCCCTTCCATTCTCTGCACAGCACCCAGAATGATCGTTACACATGCGAGTCAGGGCATCTCACCTCTTTCTCAAAACCTACATGCATTTGTGCTGTTGCACTTGGGTCCTGGCCCTGCCTGTCATGGGGACCTGGGGCCTTGTTCCCCGTGGTCACAACGTCCCAGGAGCGCACTTGCCCCTCCCTCTGCCATAGCCGTGAACACCCTAGGTCCATGCACTGTCACCTTCACACCTCCTACCCTGCGTGCCCCGCATGCCCCGTGCGCCCGTCAGAGCGCTCTCCCCAGTTGGTATGATGCTGTTCCCGCTTCCCTTTGGTCCTCGGTCTCTGGAATGGTTGTGCCTCGAGAATTGGGAGCGCTCTCTGCTCTTACGGGCAGTATCTTTGGTGCCTGGAGGTATCAGGAAGCGCCTGATAAAGTAAATTCCTGTTGAACAAGTGAAGATAACTCTTCTCCCAAGCTCTGACCATGTCCCCTGTCACACGGTTGCACTCGGTAAATATTGTCTATGCGAGATGCTCCAGGAAAAGAGCAGTTTGAGGAAATGCCACTTCTCTATCATCAGGAAATCTCACCTCTGCTCTTGAAGGCTGCTTATTCTCCTTGTTTTGACAATTGAACATGCTTTTTCGCGTTACCGTCCCTGTCCCCAGGCCGCTGAGCTGGTGACCAGGAATTGCGAGGCTTATGAGGCCCACATGAGGGACGTTCGTGACTACCTGGAGGAGCGGCTGGAGGTGAGCCTGGGGTCCGCGGGGGCCAGGGGGGCAGCCTGGAGTCTGGGGAGGCCCCAGCCTTCCTCCAGTGAGCGGAGGGTCGGGGGTGCCGCCCCAGGCAGCAGGCAGGACAGGACGGGGGTTGTTTGAGACTCGGTCCAGGGACTCTGGGACAGTCAGGGCAGAGGCTAGAGGACGGAAGCCTGGGTCAGGAGACCCCCCCCCCCCCGGGTTGGGCTCTAGGCCAAGTGGCCGACCTTCAGAGAGGCGTGATAGAAATGCACCAGAGCTGCTGTATGTGGTGGTTGTACGGAGGAGAGTCACACGTATTCAGAATTTTTTCTCCTGATTAACTTTGCTTTCCAGTCAGTCCCTATAACTATTATAGGCAGATGCTTATTGATGAACTAGTTATTTTATGTGTCGAGGTTGAGATTTTGTGTTCCAGAAAAGGCTCGAGGTCAAACGGTTGGGGGGCAGGAGGGCTGTGTGCTTTGAAACTACCTCTGAATACTTCATTGACTTTTCAGGCTGAATTTGATAAGCAGAGAATCCATCTGAACAGCCAGTTTCCAGGGACCGAGCGACTCCCCAACACATGCAACTTTTCTATCCAGGGACCCCAGCTCCAAGGTGATGAGGGTCTGCTGGTCTCCGCGTGGGGTGGTGGGCGCCGGAGGGGGCAGAGCGGCCCCCTTAGGGCGGGTGTCCCCAGGAGGCCGGGCAGGTCTCGGCTGCCTCCCGCTCTCCCGGCCTCGGCTGTTCGCGCTGGTGCAGGGGGCGCAGCGCCGGCCCCAAGCTGAGAGGGAAGGCGATGAGATGCACTAAATTTTAGGCTAGCTCATCCATTTCCGTCAGCAAGTTTGACAAAACATTTTACGAGGCTAAGGGAAGGGAGAGGCAGTCGACTTTAAAATTTGGCTCAGAGTCAGGAGGAAGCACACGTGTGTGGGACTCGTTCCTGTGATAACTGCCTCCCGGCTGGAAACCGTCAGGGTTCCTGGAATCCAGAAGATAAGACATGGCTCCCCAGGGCCCTGGGGCCGAATCCAGGGAATTGACCAGCCGCGCTCCACGGAGAGGAGATTCTGTGCCCTGAGCGTGAGGGAGGCACGTTTGGGGAAGTTCCTGGGGGAGAGGGGCTGCTCCCCGTCTCGCTGGACGGCGCGAGGAGCGGCGTGTCTGCAGCACGTACAGGCCCTGGGCAGGCGTCCCTGCGGCGGGGCGGGCGGCCCGCGCTGGGACGCAGTCTCGCTGTCTGCCGTGCGGAGAGCCGCTCTGCCCTCTTCCCCGTCTCTGTGGGGACAGGTGTATTCAGTGAGGCCTGCGTCCATTTCAGAGAGACGGGTTCTTTTAATTAAGTCAATGGGTTTATTACTTTAATCTCTGTGCCCATGAAAGAAGAGGGAAGTGCCTTCCCGCTTAATCAAAACAGCGCCCAAGTGTCTCCACCCTTAGAAAACTCAGAGGTAGGTTTAAATGTCATTCCTGGGACAGCGAAGTATGAGGTAAGGCCGCCGATGAGAGCTCTGGGTGTCTCCCTCGGCAGCTGACCGGAAATAACATGTTCGAGGCCGGGTTCACGAGGCAGAATCGTGGGTCTGCGAGGAACCGTCCTGTCTGGATCCTGCGGCACTGTCCCCTGGGATGAGAGGGGCGCGAGGGAGGGGGCCTCCAAACTTGCGGGGGGAAGAGGAGAGCCGGGCAGCTGGGGCCCCGCCCGCGCTCCCCGCCTCAGCCTCGTGCCGTGTCTCCCCAGGCCACGCGGTGCTGGCGCGGTGCAGGGCGCTGCTGGCTAGCGTGGGGGCTGCGTGCCACTCGGACCGCGCGGATCGGTGAGTGCTGCGCACGCTGGGCCGCGCCGGGCCTGGGGCCTCCGGAGCTGCGCGGCCGACGGGGACACAAAGCGTGACCAGACGTCGCAGGGCCGAGGGGAGGAGGGGAAGCCGCAGCCTAAAGGGGGGCGGGCGGGGAGGGGCAGGGCGGGCTGCAGGAGCTCCCTCTGTCCTTGGAAAGTGAGGGGCTTCGGAAGGTTGTGACAGGCCAGGTTGGTTCCGGGTGGCCCCTGCCCGGTGCGGGAGGATGGCCGTGGCCGAGGCAGGAGGGGAGGGTGTGGGGCCCGGGCATCCGAGACTGGCCTGACCCTGGTGCAGGAAGAGCAGGGCTTCGGTTTCCCACTTGCCGTGAGTGGGGGGCCTGCAGAGGTGGGTACAGTCCCGGACGAGGCAGCCGGGGCCCCAGAAAGAGCCGAGCCATGGTCAGAAGCAGGCCGTCCGGGAGTCTGTGGCCGGTGCCGTGGTGTGTGAGCACCTCAGGCTAGGGGGCTCCCGAGGGCCGAGGGCCGGGTGGGGATGACAGGGCCTCCTCAGGGCTGAGAGCTGTGCCAGGGAGGGCTGCACGAGGGTGGGTGAGGCCAGGAGCCGGCATGTGGCAGCCCGAGTGGCTGCCGCAGTGAGGCGACTGCAGGAGGAGGGCGCTCAGGTGGGCAGCTGCTCCCAGAAAGCTCCCCACAGCCCTCCAGAAAGGATCTGAGTGGCCCATTTCCCAGATGGGGAAGCTGAGGCAGGTGCAGTCTGTAGTCTCACCAGGCACAAGATGAGGGGGCGGGGAGGAGGGGCCTGAGGAGCTGTGCCCAGGGGCACAGCTGGGAGGGGGTGGGTATCCCTGCAAGGGTGGGAGGGGAAAGAGGTAGAGGCAGACGCTCACGGCTCTTGTGGAAAGTGGGGGTGCCCTCTGGAGTAGGCAGTGAGACCACCCACCCAGGGGAGGGCAGGGGGCTAAGAGCTGTGGGCCCTGTCCCCTCTCTCCCCTGTGCTGCAGGGGCCTCTGGCACAGACCCTCGGGACCACAGCAAGGGAAGTCCCTGCTCCCACCTAGCCCTGTGGACGGCTTTCAGGGGCTCTGTAGTGTGACAGAGACCTTTGCCGTGCTGTTTCCACCCCGGGGCCTGTGTATGTGGGCGCCCACGGGCGCTTGAACCGTGCACCCTGCTGGGGGTGGGAGGGTGCCAGAGCTGCCCCGAACACTGGCCCCGGGGTGTGCAGAGCCCCGCATCTCCTCCGAGACCCGGCCCCACTCCTTGAGGGTCGGAAGCCCTGGAAGGCGGGGCTCGGCCTCACCGGACACAGCACTGCTGGGGGCAGAGGGGCCATGCCGGGCGAGGCTGCAGTACCGTGCAAGAGTCCGAGCACGAGACCGTGGACCTGGAGGCCGGGGGCCTAGAGGTGTTTGGCAGAGAGGGGAGATGGGTCTACACAGCCCCATCCTGGGGAGCTGGTGGAGGGCAGGAGGGGCAGGGTCCCTTCCCCGAGCCCTGGGGAGCACAGAGAGCCTTTCCCCTCTGACAGCTGACACAGGCTCTCCTCGCCCCCACCCTCCCAGGCCATCCCCGGTGCTGCTGAGCTGTGGCATTCCCTTCGACGTGGCCAGGAACGCACTCCGGCTCAGCGTGGGCCGCAGCACCACCAGGGCCGAGGTGGACCTCATCGTGCAGGACCTGAAGCAGGCCGTGGCCCAGCTGGAGGGCCAGGCCTAGTGCCCAGGGTGCCTCATAGGAAGCCCTCCCGAGGGCCGTGCCAGAATGGCTCTCCTGATTTGTCCCAGTCTTAGTTTTGTCCCAGAGTGTCTGACGCAGAGACGGGTCAGTGGGTGTGTGCGTGCACACGTGCTCCGGGCCCCCTCCCCTGTCCTCGGGTCAGTGGAGAGCCGGTCTGTCGGGCAGGCAGACCCCACAGGTGCTTCTAGGCCCAGGACACAAACCTGTGTAGGACTGTCCCCACCACCCCATGGCGCAGGTTGAAGTGGAAACATTTCAGCTGTGTCAGTGCTCCCCTCTGGGAATTGGGGTGAGCCTGTTGTGAGTGCCACCTTCCTGGAAGGTGGCATTTTTACCCAGAAGATAACATCCTAGTATTTACAAACCATTGTCCGTTGCTACCATGAACATAGGAAACCTGATTTTTGCTGCAGTCATGGCCTCCCCTGCCTGTTGGCACCGAGGTCCGTCCGCCCGTGTTCTCCAATCTTGCTCTCCGCCCCTTCCCAAGCCCTTCCGAGGTCAGGCCCCGCTTCCTGCTCTGTGTCCCCCCACTTCCCCGCCCTGCCTGACCTCCGCACTCAGCCTGCTGGCCACCCAGAGCCACCAGGCCCCGCCGGCCTTTTCCCTGTGGTCATTTACTCAGGGTTCCAGTGCAGACGTGGGAGTCAGGGGGCGGCCAGGCTTATGTGACCCCGGCTCGTTCCTGCGGTGGGAAATGAGTTCACCCCTAGCTCCGCTGGCATGATGATGTTCTTCCCAGGCGGATTCTGCTATCCTTACCCTGCTCTGTGACGTCCTGATACACCCCGGACAGCGTGACTTACAGAGCTACTTCACATAGCAGTGATGTCTTAATACACTTTTAACATGTGGTTTTAAGGTGCAAAGAACTACATGATGACATTGGAGAAACTATTGTCAGAAATTAGGTGAATAAAATATTCCAATGCTGCTATTAGACATTTATGGTTTCTCTGGGGGGTGCTTCTCTGGGGGTCACTGATGTGTCGGAGCCGGCTGCAGAGCTGGTGTTGGAGGGGTGTGTAGTGACCCCAATTTATCGCTGTACGATTAGGCTTCAGCTTAGGAAATTCAGCTTGAGACTGTCTCTGCGAGTCCCTAGAAAGTGGGTCACTAAAGTAGCGTCCCGCTGCCTCCAGGCAGAGGCCATGCTGATCCCAGTCGGCCCCGGAAAAAGCCGTGGGTGTCAGCTCCACTGAAGAGAAGAGTCTGGGACAAGAAGTGTGGCAGCCCTCAAGAAACCCCCTTGACCTTCAGCCACAGCCCCAGAGACCCTCACTCGCCTCGGAGGCCTTCCTGTCCGGGCTTAGGGCCCTGGGCCCATGGCTGGCTCTGACGAGCTGCTGCTCCCCACAGGTTTATGGAGCCTCCAAGGCCAGCGCAGGGCCAGGATCTCGCATAGATCCCCCAGGAGGCAGGTGGGCCCTTGGCTCAGTGGGTGAAGACCTAGCCGAACTCCAGCACACGTGGCCCTAAGGTCCCCAGAGAGGGCCCTCCTGTGGACGGGTCTGCCCTCCCGTAAGAGGAGTCTCTCAGGTGGCCTCCCCCTGGGCCAGCACAGCCTCTGGGCTATAGCCCAGACGAGAGGAAGCAGATGCTGGGGAGCCTACTGCCTTCCTGGAAGGACCCTGGGAAACGTAAACACCCACTAGCTGCGGGAAGTCCTTCTCAGGATGAGAGACACGGCGCATCTCCTCAGTGCCTGCTCCGAAAGAGGAAGAGCCCGGGCCAGTCACAGGACAGCATCTGCCAGCTAGCACCCACCCCTGACCTGACCCCAGTGCAGACCCTTCCCCCAGCGCCAGCCGCAGCTCTGGCCACCGCGGGCGTGCTGGGGTAGGGCTGCGAGACCCAGTCCCCCGAGGCCCGCCCGCCCCGTCCCCCCGCCCCCCGCCCGCCGCCTCCCATCTGCCCCGTGCACCGCTTATCGGGTAACCAGAGCTCGGAGCTTCGTCCACGCCTGAAACAGGAAGCCCGGGCCTGTGCGGGAGCCGCTGAGAGCCCCCGAGTGGCTGGGCTGGAGGATGGAGGAGCAGCGGGCGCTCACGGCCGCCAAGGACGGGGACCTGGCCACCCTGAAGCAGCTGCTGGAGGCCGGGGCCCTGGGCCCGGGCATCGTCGACGCCCTGGGGGCTGGCCTGGTGCACCACGCCACCCGGGCCGGCCACCTGGCCTGTGTCAAGTTCCTGGTGCAGCAGGCCGAGCTGCCCGGCAACCAGCGGGCCCACAACGGGGCCACCCCGGTGCACGACGCCGCTGCCACGGGCAGCCTGGCCGAGCTGTGCTGGCTGGTGCGAGACGGGGGCTGTGGGCTGCAGGTGAGTGGGGAGAGCCGTTGAGGTGCGGCCCGCGGCCCTGCAGACTGGGGGAGCAGGAGCTGTGAGCCGGGATGTCCTGGGCACCACAGCCCTAGCTTCTGTCTCGGACTCGCCGTGCAAGCCCCACAGCACAGGCAGGCCCGCCTCACCCCAAACCAGCACCGGGCCCTCGTAAGCCTGGGCCGCCTCCCACCGCGTGTTCCCCGGGGCAGGCACAGAGCAACCAGGTGCTCTCCCTGTGCCCTCCCCGCATCGGAGCGCCTGGCCTCGCCACGGTGGGGGGGGCCGCCGTGCTCCCATCAGGCTGGATCCAGGGGGCCTGCTTCCCAAAGGGTCCAGACGGGTCTGTAGAGGAGCACGGTGGGCACGCGGGCTCAGGAGCTGTGGGCCCTGCTTGAATGACTGGAGGCCTCGGCAGGTGACAGCACCCCTGCTGTAGGGGGAGCGTTGGGAAGAAGGAGGGTCTCCAGGGCTCAGTGGCCTTTCCAGCAGGACCCCCCCTCCCCTTCTTCCTGCCTGCCTGGTGTCCCTTTGTCCAGGTGGAGGACCTGGGACAATGGGCAAGCTCCGACAGGGCATACAAGGGCACCCTCCGAGAAGTGGCACCGGGTCCCGGACAGGGAAGACCCCGGCCCCTTCAGCTCTTCCCGCAACCCGAGCGGCAGCAGGGGAGGGGGAGCGGTGCCCATTTCCGTGCCTGGGAGCATGCCCGGGCCTGCCAGCTGCTTGCCACGGGAGTGCTTCCGGCTGTGAGGATCGTGGCTGGCGGGTGGGTGCTCAGCTGGGGTAGGTAGGGGTCAGAGGCCCAGAGGCAGGGCCCCGGGACCGGCAACAGGCCACAGAGCCCGACACAGGCAAGGTTGTGCCCGTGGAAGCCCTTCCTGCTGTGAGCCGAGTGCAGGAAAGGGCCATGACTGCCGTGGACAGAGGGGCCCGGGTGCAGCGGGATCACAGGTTTGGACCCGGAAGACCTGCAGTTGTGTCCCCGCCCTGCCTCCTCCCCCGGGCAGGCCACCAGGCTCAGCCGGCAGAGTGGGAAGAGCAGACCCCCTCCGGGCAGGCCGGCCGGCAGGGCGGGCTGGGCGGCAGGCTCCTGGGCCCTGGGACTGCCCAGCCGGGGCCGGGTCGGGCCTGTCACAGGCTCCCTGCCCTTCTGTGCCCCGTAGGACCAAGATGACTCGGGCGTCTCCCCGCTGCACCTGGCCGCCCGCTTCGGGCACCCTCTGCTGGTGCAGTGGCTGCTTCGGGAGGGCCACGCGGCCGCCCTGGAGACCCTGGAGGGGGCCCTGCCCCTGCACCACGCCGCCGTCAGCGGCGACCTGACCTGCCTGAAGCTCCTGGCGGCGGCCCACGGCAGGTGAGGAGCCAGAGCGCCCCCTGTCGGCCTTCCGCGAGAGCCGGCCGCCGGGGAGGCGGCGCCGAGGGGTAGAGGGGGACAGGCTGGTGGCTGGGGACGTGGGCCCTGCAGGGCAGGCACTGGGGGGGGAACAGGGAGGGGCCAGTGTGGGGCCAGGGCGGCGGCAGAGGGCCGACGAGACTCGGAGCGGGGCAAGGACCTTGATCCTGCCGGCCGAGGGCAGTGCCGGGCCGGACACAGGCTCGTCCTGGCGGCGCGGGGGGGGGCGGGGCCGGGAACCTCTGCGACTGCTTTCGGTCAGCCCGGGGGCGTGTCAGGACGCACGCTCCCCCAGCTGGGAAGGTGGGCACCCTCCAGTCTCCTGCAAAGAGCGGAGGCCTACAGTGCACTCGGGGTGGGGGGGGGCACAGAGGCCCCAGTCAGGGCACCCCGGATTGCCCTGCCACACTGTCCCCTCCGCCGCACTGGACACCCCTCCAGGGCGGCCCGTCTCATGCTGGTGGCCCTGTGCCCGCTGCCCAGAGTTGGTGCTGGGCAAACTGGGAATGGCAGGGATGGGATGGGCCCAGGCGAGGTGGGGGCCAGCCAGTCTTCCCTTCCTCCTCCTGAGAGCCTGTCCAGTCCTTGGCCCACACAGAGGGTGCCGTGGGCACCATGCAGGGCCGTCCGGGGGCGTCATGCACACGGCCTCCCCGCCCCCGTTCCCAGGGCTGCGGGCCCAGCTGGGTGTGGGACTTAGTGTCCACCCCACACCTGACCTAGCCTTCCCCCCGCAACCCACCTGCCTCCAGCCGTGCCTCTTCTCCTTCTGGGGGTTTGGCTGCAGGGCGGGCTCTTCCGGCTGCCCCACACCGGCTTCTCCACAAGGCCCGAGAGCTCAGCTATTCCTTGGTCTTCTCATCCCACCCCCTTGGCGAAGGTCCTAGGACTTGCTTCTACGGACCCTGTGGGCACCCTGGGCCTGGCCAGCCACAGAGGGTCCGTTAGACTCCGTTTTTAAAGTAGTTTTTACCGTGTAAAACCTGGAGACTTCGCATTAAAACACACAAGTTTTAGTCTCAGGCCCTAGCGCCCCCACCCCACCTGGCACTGACCACGGGGTGAAGCCTGCGTCACCGGGGGCTGGGGTCAGCCTTGGGTAGGGGACTGTCCCTCCCTGCAGCATTCCACTGGGGACCAAGAACTCACCTGGCCCCACGGCAGCTCAGGCAGAGCGGGATCGGGGGACTCCCATGACCCTCCTCCAGTCCGTCCATGCTGGAGCCTGGAATTCGGATGCCAGGCCTGGGCACTGCTCACAATGCCCTTTCTTGCAGAGCAGGCCCTGGGCTCTGGAGGCTCAATGACCTGCCCGCTGCCGGCTCCCCTAGGCCGTTCACCTACCAGCAAGCCCCAGCACCGTGAACAGCTGAACAGCTTGATGGGGAGTGTGCAGAGCTGGATTCCAGGATCCCAGTGGTCGGGGGCAAGGGGGTTATGGGGTGTGGGGGGCGCTGCTGGTGCCCTTGAGCAGTGCACAACCTGTACAGTCCTACAGGTGACCAGCTAGGGGGGCCCTCAGCCAGTAAGTGGGGCTGGGCACAAACAGACTGGCCAAGGGCTGGGCCTCCCGTCCCCTTGATCTGGGCCTTTGGGTGGGGCAGCCCCTGCCTCCTGCACGCCCACCAAACGCCCTCTGAACCTCATCTTCCCCCACAGCGGCGTGAACCGGCGGACGCGCAGTGGGGCCTCCCCGCTCTACCTGGCCTGCCAGGAGGGCCACCTGCACCTGGCCCAGTTTCTGGTGAAGGACTGCGGTGCCGACGTGCACCTGCGTGCCCTTGATGGTATGAGTGTGTTGCACGCGGCTGCTGCCCACGGCCACTACTCACTGGCCATCTGGCTGGTAAGTGGGCGCCGGGGCTGTTGGGGCATGAGAGATGCAGAAAGGCCGGCACCTGCCCCTTCCTCGGCCCCAGAGCCCCCTCCAAGCAAGCAGGGCCTGGCTGGGGTGGGGGCTCTGCTTCTCCGGGTCTCAGTCTGCCCACAGGAAAACCGGGGACCCCACAGGGCTGTAGGGGATCAGATGTGCCCAGCCATCACTTTGAACACCGGTGTGTGCAGGCCCAGACTGGGCCCGGGAGTGCAGCCTTGATGGGCAGTGGCCCCTGAAGGGCAGTGGGGACGCTTGTGACCCCTCCCCCAGGAATCCTGGGGGTTTTCCTGGCACCCTCAGGGCAGGTGGCCCCCAGCGGGCACTGGCTGTTCCTGGCCCTGCATTCGGCCACTTGTTCCTGCTCTGCTGTCTCAGAGCCCCCAGTCTCTTCCGTTCTGGACCCAGGGAAGGGGTATTTGGGCCTCTTTCTGGAAGGAAGCCCTGAGTCCCCAGAACACACTGTGGCCTGGGTTGGGGGGATGCATTTTCCCAGGATGGGCTGGGGACTTCCTGCTTTGACCACAGAAAACCAGACCAGGCAAGGTCTCCGGGACCCTTGAGGGTTCATTACAGAGGCCGGGGTTGGCGGCGGGGGGGGCGTGTGTGTCTCAGAGTAGGGGGTCTGCCTGAGGAGGGTCAGGGGGTAGTTGGGCAAAAGGTCATGCCCAGAACAAGGAGGAGGGCCCAGCTTTTAATCCGAGTTGGAGAGAGCCTGGCTTGTGGGGCAGAGTGAGCCAGGATAGGCAGAGGCCCTGAGGGGACCAGGGCTCTTTCCTGAGGGACTGGGAGCCACCGAGGGACTCTGAGCCAGGAGCGGCAGGGTCTGACGGGCATCTCTGAAGGCCACACTGGCCACTGGTGGAGATGAGACAACCCTTCCTTGCTCCGAACCTCCCACACTTCCCGCAGGGCCTCCGCCCCGGCTCTTCCTCCAGCGGGCTGGCCACCCTCCCTGAGGGGCCTTCTCCCTGGCAGGGTCCCCACTGTGATGGCGCCTCCCCACTGCCTTCCCTGCCCATCCATTTAGGATGGCGCCCCCCCCCCCGGCCCTCGGTCCTGCTGTCCTGCCGTTTTTCCTCCATGGCACCAACACCCGATAAACTATACATTTGCCTCTGGGAGGCAAGGACCGCATCCCTGAGCCTGGCCCCGAGCCCGGGCTCTGGAGATGTTGATCCAGTGAGGGAATGAGCCAAGGAACAAATGATGAAACCCAGCCGCCTGCTTGGTCTTTGAGCCATCAGCCTTTGCCTCCAGCCTCCCTTAGCCGCTCTCCCTCCCAGGCTGGCCCTTCGCCCCTGAGGCACCAGTGGCGGCACACACACTTTGTGCGGGCTGGGTCCACAGGGAGGTGGCACCTTCCCACTGGCTGCCTCCCCCCCCCCCCCCCAGGCGGCTCCACTCTGGGGAGGAAGCTGTGCAGCCCCGCCCTGGCCTTCCTGCAGAGTCATCCTCATGTTCCCTCTCCTGTCATTCAGACCCCGTCCGGTTCAGACCGTGGCCCCCCCAGAAACGTGCCTGTCTCTGCACCTGGATTCATGGCCCCTGGGGTGAGCCCGAGTCCCGGGCGTAGGACTGTGCGCAAGCAGGGGCTCAGCACGCGGCCCTGGGGGTGGGCTGGGGGAGAAGCAAGAGCACAAAGCACTGGGGAGGGGTGCTTTCAAGGGGGCAGGGAGAGTGGCAGGAGGGAGGAATGTCCACCGAGTCCCAGGGAGCACCACGGGGCTCATCCCAGGGAGCAGCCAGGGCCACGGGCTCTCAGGGCCAGAAAGGCCTTTCTAGCGTGACTCCCCCTGCCGCCTCCCTGCAGCCTCCAACCTGGCCCCCCCTCCGGGGCTGGGCGCCCTCTCCGTCTGGGGAGCTGGCTGACGGGAGGGCCTCTGTTCCCGGCTCCCTGTTCCTTTCGCAGCAGACACATGTGACTGTGGGATCAGTCAGCACGCTTTTGGCTGCAGGTGACAACTGGACTGAACCTCCTTCTCAGTGTCCCTGGCACATAGAAGCAGCAGGAACCTGCTGACTTTGGATCAGACACCCAGCCCCATGCGGCTGAATCTTTGCTACCCTTCCAGCCTTTCCTTTATGGTGAAAGTTGGCCACATTCAAGGCAGGAGGAGGGAGAAACACCACAGCCACCAGCCCCTTCCATCAGGAAGGCAGAATTTTTCTAGAAGTGGCCCCTGGAGTTTCATGGGCTTCCTGGTGCCCGGCTGTCTCCAGGGCTTCTGGGGAGGGTCGCCTCCCACTTCTGTGCCGAGCTCCCTCCCCCATACCCCCTCCCTAGGAGGGGTCACCTCCTCAGCTGGCCCTCCTCCCCCACCTTCCCCAGGTCACCTTCACCGACATTGGCCTGACGGCACGGGATAACGAGGGGGCCACAGCCCTCCACTTTGCAGCTCGAGGCGGCCACACACCCATTCTAGACCGGCTCCTGCTGATGGGTGCCCCCATCATGACAGACTCCTGGGGTGGGACCCCCCTCCATGATGCAGCAGAGAACGGGCAAATGGAGGTAAGGCCGGCGAGGTGGGAGGCTGCGCAGTAGAGCCCAGGGGCCCCAAGAAGCTGGCAGGCCTGAGAGCTCCCCATTCCCAGGCACTTCCTACAAAAATAAGTCAACTCGCTCAACAGCCCCATATGAGAGGGGTCACGGTTCCCCTTTTACATGTGGGTAAAGTGAGGCTGAGATGGGCAGTCGCTGCCCAGGATCCAGACTCTGATCTACCTGGGAGCAAAATCCATGCTCTCCCCTCCGTGCGTACCCCTTCCTCTGCACAGAGACTCCCAGGGTGTGTCACCTGTCCCAGGAGAACCCTTGGCTGCGACACTCTGCTGTGAGCACAGGGAGCCGGGCTGGGCCGGGGCCATGAGGTTAGCCATTTTGCTATCACCCAATAAATCTTGGGGACTCGCATGGCCCAGTCCTTCGGAAACAACACTGAGGAACCCGGAGTCAGCAAGGGTGACATTTAAATATTTAAGGTCCGACACTGAGAATAGACCCAGCCATCGGCACCGGCCCCCTGCCCCGGGCACCACCTGCACACTGACCTCACGGAAAGGCAAGGCCAGTCTGAGAGCAAAACACAGGTTTCCTCCTCCGCCTGCCCCACCCAGCCCCACGTAGCACTGTCTCCAAAGGGGCTCAGCCTGCTGCAGCCAAGGAGCAGTGTGCCAGGCAGGGCTAGTCCAGAGGGAGGGTTTTATTGAGATGCAGTTGGGGGTCTCTGCTTCTGGACAGCTGTTCCCAGCTGGAACCCAAAGTGTGCCTGGGGCCCAGGTGGCCCAGTGTCATTCGTGTCAAGTAGAATAAACTGCAGCAACCAAGCATCACGGGAAGGCACCCATTCCTTTTAAAGAAAGCAAAGGAGACTCGGTCCCAGCTTACAGCAGCCCTGCGAAAATTGTCTTTCTCGGACTCTCCACTCCTCCCCACCCTCCACCCCAGCTACCCTTCCCCTCTCCTCCTTCAGACACCACTCAGCCCTGCAGGCTCACTCCCCCAGCTCTGTCTCCCCGGTTTCCACCCCTTCCTAGACAGGGAGGGGGCAGCAGGTGGGAAGGCAGGGTAAGCCTTGCGGGGGCCGGGGGCGGGGGGGGGGAAGGGGGCAGAACGGTCCTCAGCAGGCCTGGGAGAAGAGGGTGAGTCTGCACATAGCCCTGCAATCTTTGTTTTTGTCCCACTACATGACAACAGAGGAATCGGAGGTGGTGAGGGGACCCCCAAGTCCAGAGGGACTGGAGGAGCCCTGAGCCCAGCCAGTGCGGTGCTGCTCAGGAACGAGCAGTGGCTTTCTTCAAATGAAATACTCAGTAGGAGCCAAGAACAGATGAGCCAAGGGTCGGTGGCTCCTCACCCTCTCTGCATATGAAAACAAAAGAACTCAGGCCGCCAAGCCAAGCCAAGAACAGACTTCCTTTCAATCTTTTTATTATGGAAATCCTAAACGCACAGGAGAGTGTGAGATCAGCAATGACTGGCTGGCGCACTGCCCTCCACCACTCCCTCGGCAAACTAGAGATGTCACATTGTTTTAGCCAGAAATACTTTAGCAGACATCTCCAAGAGATAAGGACTCCCTTTGTTTTTTATCACAGTTTCAAACCATTATCACACCTAAAAATAATTCACAGTAAGGTCCTACTATCATCTCCGCTCCAGCCTGCTGATAGCGTCCAGCATCTCCCTGATTGCACTGTAATTGGAGGCTAAACAGGAGCCACACACTACTGATTTGTCTGGTGAGTCTGTTGATCCATTAGCAGTTCCAGAAGTATACTTTGTCTGGGCAGCCTAGGTTAATGCTTGATCTCCCCCCACAACTTCAAAATAAATTCTTATTTTAGAATAGTTCAGAATGATTTTAGATTTGTAGAACAATCGAGACACTAGAACAGACAGAGAATCCCTTTAGACCCACATCCATTTCCCCCTATCATTATCGACTTAATCAGCACGGTCACAATTAATGAACCAAAACTGATACAGTATTACTAACCAAAGCCCATACTTTATTCTGATTTCCTTAGTTTTTTGAAGATTTATTTATTTGAGAGAGAGAGAGGGCATGTGCTCAAGAGCGAGCATGAGCAGGGGAGGAGCTAAGAAGGAGGGGAGGGGCAAGCAGACTCCATGCTGAGCGTGCAGCCCAACTTGGGGCTCAGTTTCATGACCCCAAGACCATGACCTGAACCAAAACTGAGTTGGACACTTAACTGACTAAGCCACCCAGGCGCCCCCAGACTGCCTTAGTTTTTATCTAATGTCTTTTTCCTGCTCCAGAATTCCCTCCAGGATACCACACTACATTTAGTCTTCGGGTCTCCTTAGGCTCCTTAGCTGGGTCAGATTCCCCTCATTTTTAAGAATAAAACTTCAGAATAAAGAGCTGGTGTCCTAGCAGCCTCCAAAGGGAGCAATGATTGTTTAGCATGTTTTTGTTTTACTATATCAGTCTTTATTCTTTGAATGGTGTGAATTATACCGATTACTTGCTTTTGTTTTTTAAATTGAAGTAAACGCTACATAACATAAAACTTACACTCCTGGGACACCTGGGTGGCTCAGTCAGTTAAGTGTCTGCCTTCAGCTCAGGTCACGATCCTGGAGTCCCAGGATGGAGCCCCACATCAGGCTCCCTGCTCAGCGGGAAGTCTGCATCTCCCTCTGACCCTCCCCCCTTGTGCTCTCTCTCTCTCTCTCACACACTCTCTCTCAAATAAATAAATAAAATCTTCAAAAAAAAAAAAGCTTATCCTCCTTTTTCTCCTTTTTCTAAGTGTATGGTGCGGTGATGCTAACTCCGTGCACATTGTTAATACAGCAGATCTCCTAGTTCTCATCTCTCAAAACTGGAACTCTGTCCCTATTAAACATCTACCTGCTCCCCCTCCAACAGCCCCTGGCACCCATCTTTCTACTTTCTGTCCCTATGAGTTTGACAACTCTAGTGGAATCATGTAGTATTTATCCTTTTGTGACTGGCTTCTTTCTTTTTTTTTTTTTTAAGATTTTATTTATTTATTTGAGAGAGAGAGAGAGCGAGCGCACATGAGAGGGGGGAGGGTCAGAGGGAGAAGCAGACTCCCCGCTGAGCCGGGAGTCCGATGCGGGACTCGATCCCGGGACTCCAGGATCATGACCTGAGCCGAAGGCAGATGCTTAACCAACTGAGCCACCCAGGCGCCTTGACTGGCTTATTTCACTCAGCATCATGTCCTCAAGGTCCATCCATGTTGAAGCAGGTGTCAGAATATCCTTCCTTCTGAAGATTGAATCATATTCCCTTGTGTGGATGGACCACATTGCCTCTATTCATTCATCCATAGGGGACACTTGGATTGCTTTTACCTCTTGGCTATTGTGAACAATGCTATAGTGAATGTACGTGTGCAAATATCTCAAGACCTTCCTTTCTACTCTGATTACTTTTTTAAATGTTAAACCAACATTGCATTCCTGGAGTAAATACAACCTGATCATGATATGTTATCTCTTATATATAGCTGAATTTAATTTGCTAACATTTTGTTTGGGATTTTAGATGTAGTGTATAGTGCCAGTGCGGTGGTTCTTAGAGTTGTCTGTACGCTGGGAATCTCCAGGACAGGTTTAAAGTCCTAACACCTGGGCTCCACCTGCCCAGAGATCCTGGTTTGATGGGTTCTGAGTGGAGCCCCCAGGTGTCAGGACTTTTTAAAACTCCCCAGGGGATTATGACATACAATTTCGAGAACTATCTGTGTGAATAGCATTAGCTCAGCTAATCTGGAAAGAATTCATAAAGACGATGGATCTTACAGTGGTGTGTGAACGTGGGAAAGAGCGGGATTTCTGGCAAGGGAGAGATGGCTAGACGTGGTCAACTGCTAGAACAGAGCAGAGAGCAGGAGCCGGGGCTGGCAGTGAGGGGTCACTGGTGACAGCATGGAACTAGGTTAATGCTGAGTCAAGAGGCCACCATGACTCTGGAGAGGAGGGTATGCGACGCCACGGTTGTTTGGCAGAGGAAGTTGCCGTAAGATGGGGTGTGGTCTGGGGCTTTGCTGATGAGGTGGAAAAGGAAACGACAGGAGGCAGGTGTCAATAAGCTTAGGACATGACCAAGGATTCGAGAACCACAAGAGTATTTGGTTCTCAACAGGGCAGTGCCCTCTGCGGTGGGGGTCAGAAATTTTAGGGCTGTTTTTGGTTTTACAGTGATTGAGGTGCACTGGTGGTGGAGGGGACACCAGGGGACCTGCTATTCCCCAGGCAGTCCTGCACAATGACAGAAGGTCCCGTGCCCCACCTAACTTCCCAGTGGATCAGACATACATGTAGGTGGAAAACCTGTTTATAATGACCTGAGCTTTGAACCCAACTCAAGTGTATATGATTATCTAAGCTTAGAACTTAAATTCAGTTATATGTATACACACACCCCAATATTTTTCATAGTGTCAGTATATACAAGGCTTTTCCAAGAACGCTCCTACTGTCCATGTTGAGGGAAATAGTATCTTATTTTATTTAGCACTTTACCATGAACCACTCGCTGTCTGGGAAAATGGCATCACTCATGCAGCACCCGTCGGTGATTCTACAGATAGGTATGTTCGAGGATAATTTTTGAAAGTGCTTGTAATCATGATGCTCATTCAACTATAAAATGAGCCTGTGTCAAAGATTTTTATTTAACTCACTAAGTAAGGAGAAAGCAAGTAATTCATATAACCAGGAGTAAACAAACAAATACGTCACAGGTAAGGAATAATGAAGTGAATTCACAAATAGACAGATGCAAAACCAGTCAGTATTGACGGGGAAATCCTTGACTGCACCCCAGTGCACACATTTTGCGTTTAGCCTTTCTCTGGACAAGAGTCATTTCTAATATGAACATATTTATTTACTTAAGTTTTTATTTATTTTTAGATTTTATTTACTTGAGAGAGAGCGAGCACACGCACATGAGAGCACAAGCAGGGGGAGGGGCAGAAGGAGAAGCAGGCTCCGCACTGAGCAGGACCCCGCTGTGGGGCTCGGTCCCGGGACCCTGAGATCACGACCTGAGCCTAAGGCAGACGCTTAACCAACTGAGCTGTCCCGGTGCCCTTATAACATGAACATTTTTATACAATTTGCAGAGTAGTTGGCTCTAAGGCAGTGAATGAGAGGGGAAATAACCAGAAGTCTAAGCAGGACACTCAGTAATCTGTCTTGTCCATTTGAGTGCCTTTCTTAATTTTTCATGATATGGGCATCAGACTTTGTCTTTGGCGCAGCCATGCCCAAATACTCAAAAAGTAAAATGCGTGTTTCTCAAATTATAAATTATTTTTCTTTTCTCATTTATATTAGAGTATAATATTATTTTAAAATTATGTGTGCAAATTTGATTCTCAGTGGAGTTAATGTTAGAATAGCGAATGGGAGGGCGCCTGGGGGCCTCAGTCGTTAAGCGTCTGCCTTCAGCTCAGGTCATGATCCCAGGGTCCTGGGATCGAGCCCCACATTGGGCTCCCTGCTCAGTGGTAAGCCTGCTTCTCCCTCTCCCTCTGCCTGCCACTCTGCCTACTTGTGCTCTCTCTCTATCTCTCTGTCAAATAAATAAATAAAATCTAAAAAAAAAAAAAAAAAGAACAGCGAATGGGGTGTCAGAAAACGTTTGCAGTAAAAAGAGGGCATTGGGACTGATGGCGGGGCGGAGCCTGGACTAACGTACCCTCGAGGTGTCTTCCAGCCCGCCTTCATCCTGTGATGTTCCTCTGTCTAGGGTGCTGATGAAGCTCGTAGGCTCCTAGAGCCACTGCTGTGAATCCAGGCTGCCCCACTTCCTAGCAGTATGACCTTGGGGAGGCTTTTTGTCCTTCTCTGTGCCTCGTGTTCTCTTGTGTAACACAGGCATGGGAATAAACCTCACAGAGTGACATTGGAACTGAATGAGTGGTCTATGTGTCGCTCCAGAATGATGCCTGGTGCAGTGAGGTGCATGGGAAGGACTCGCCTCCCCACCTCTTAGACAAGCCTCCAGGGTGTGAGCACGATGGTCCCCAGCAGCCCCCAGCTTCCTGTGATGGGCTTGAGCTTTTCAAGGCACAGCCTAGAGGCTAGCGGTAAGAAAGAAGGGAGCAGGAAAGCTTGCAGCGTGGGGATGAGGCTGGAATGGGATGGGGTCACACCATTTTTAATGTGTTTTATTTCTGCAGTTTAAAAAGACCCTATCTGACATTGTTTTCCATTCAGTCAAGAAATAAAGGCTTACTGAAACTTATCCACAAATTTACTGCTTGGTCATCTTCATTCCCCCTGGCATCTCTGGCCTTCCATATGGAATCCCTTCCACTCAGTCTGATTCCGTTCAGTCTGAAGCCGATGCCTCAGATGTTCCCTTAGTGTGGGTGTGTTGCCGGCCAATTCTTTGTTTCATTTTGTTTTGTTTGCCTGGAAGCACCTTTATCTCATTATCAGTATCGAAGGAGATTTTTGCTGGGTATAGAATTGTTGCTTGGGCATTTCCACGGATTTTCCTCTGCTGCTGGGAAAATGACATGCGTTCATTGCCTTGTGGTTTCTACAAAGAAGTCAGCTGAGAGGGGCCACTGTTTTGAAGATAATCCTGCTTTCTCTTGTCACTTCTAAGGGTTTTCATTTCGTCTTTGGTTTCCTGCAATTTCACTATGGGGATGACCTGAGGTGGATTGCTTTTTATTTCTCCCACTGGGGATTGCTTGAGCATCTTGAATTTGTGCTTTGGTGCTGTAAGTCCTGTAAAACGCCCAGCCATTATCCCTTCAGATGAGACTTCTGCACCCATCCTGTTTCCCGTCTTTCTGGGATTACTATTACAGACGGTATTGCAGGCCGTTTCCGCTTTCATCTTGTTGTCTCTCTGTGCTGCATCTGGATTGCTGCTTCTGACTGATTTTCTGTTTACTCATCCTACAGCTTCAATTTTTAACTTGGTTATGATTTCTGTGTTCCTGACCTACTAATAGTCATTTTTCAAATCTACCATGTCACTTTTCATAGTTTATAATTCCATGCCTAAATTTTCAAGCTTGATTTTCATTCCCTTGAAAGTAGTAAGCACAGCTGTGTTCTCTCTGTTAGTTCTTGGGTCTTTGTGGGTCTGTTTCCTTGTGGATTGGGTCTTCTGGTTCTTGTTGTGCTATCTTATTTCTTTGGGCTCCTGACTTTGTCTGACTGTATACTGTAACTTATATTTGAAAAAACGACTCTCTCTGTCAAATAAATAAATAAAATCTTTAAAAAAAAAAAAAAAGGTAAAGGGGCGCCTGGGTGGCTCAGTCGTTGAGCGTCTGCCTTCGGCTCAGGTCATGATCCCAGGGTCCTGGGATCAAGCCCCGCATCGGGCTCCCTGCTCCGCGGGAGGCCTGCTTCTCCCTCTCCCACTCCCCCTGCTTGTGTTCCCTCTCTCGCTGTGTCTCTCTCTGTCAAATAAATAAATAAAATCCTTAAAAAAAAAAAAAAGAAAAAACGATTTGTAGGAGTCAGCTGAGGCCTTGGATATCTTACTTGCCTCTGGTTGTCAGGCATACACAGGAATCATGAGCCCAGGACCGTCTCAGTCCACATTCCAGGCTTGAGGTTCCCTGGCCCACTGAATGAAGGGAAGCAGAGGGCTGGCTGGCTTCCACTTTACCTTTACTCTGAGGGTAGAGCCCTCAGCCTATAGCACTAAGTCATAAATCAGAGCCCTCACCTCTGGAGGACCATGAGCTTTTGCTGGTCTCCCTAGTCCTGTGAGGCTGTCGGAAGAACCATTATTTTTCCTGCATCAGCGTGTTGTTAGGGCAAAAACACTTCTGAGTGATAGGGTTTATCCCTCCGGATTTTCCCTGTCTCCTGAGCTTGGCCTGGTAATTCCTCTTTGATGCTTAGGAAGGTGACTTTTACATTTAGTCCATATTTTCTGTTGTCCTTGGGGACCTGTTTCTCTACTTCCTGATGGGATCCATCCACCCACGTGTTTTGCTGCTGGGACAGCCACCTCACAGATCTTGGTCATCTGTAATCACCCACCCCCTGCTCACAAATCTCACAGTGAGCAGGCCATCGTTCCATCTTCCCATTTCTTCCTGTGAAAATGACACATAGCTCTGAGCATTGCTGTACAAACAGACACTGGTTCTGCATTTAGAGCCCAGGGCATGGACTACAAGGGCAGGGTCAGGATCGGGCTGCCTAGCCAGGATGCTGGCTGTACCATCTACTTACCAGCCGAGGCCTTGGCGAGTTCCTGACTGCGGGCACCTCGGTTCCTGTCTGGGACCAGGGTGTGCTGGTGCTTGCGGAGCTCGGTGCTGCTGCTGCCTGGACGGGGCCACAGTGGGTGGGGCTTGGAGATTCGAGCCCTGTCCCTGCAGTGAACAGCGGCAGGATCTTGGGCAGTTTCCTTCGTTGTTGGTGGCCTCAGTTTCCCACCTGTGAGATGGGGCAGCACGGTGCCTGCCCTCCATCACACCTGGTGGATGCCACCACACCTAGTGGGCACAGGCAGATGGTGCAGTGGTCACATGTGTGTCCCCTCCCTGCAGTGCTGCCAGACGCTGGTGTCCCACCACGTGGACCCCTCCCTACGAGATGAAGATGGTTACACGGCGGCAGACCTGGCAGAGTACCATGGACACCAGGACTGTGCCCAGTTCCTGCGGGAGAGCGCCCGGCCGGTAAGCTTCACAGTGCCCACCCAGCCCCAGAGGCTGGGGTGACAGGGCCCCCAGCTGCCCTGACAGCCAAATTATGGAGAAAGCTTACTGTGTACCCCATGCTGTTCCCAGGAAAAAGGTCTTGGGCCAGGACAGAGCTGGCGCCATAAGCTGGCCCAGTGCTGGGACCAAGCCATGGCAGGGGCTGTGACAAGGGTCATGACAGAGCTGTGATGGGGCTGTGGCAGGAGCTGTGATGGACCATGGCAGGGGCCATGGCAGAGGCCATGACAGGGGCTGTGACAGGGGCTGTGACAGGGACCATGACTGACAGGGGCTGTGACTGGGGCTGTGACGGGCCATGACTGGGGCTGTGACAGAGGCTGGGACAGGGGCTATGACTGGGGCTCCCACAGGAGTGGTGCCAGGGGTCAAGACAGGGGGCAGGGCCATGACTGGGCCGGGCTACAGCAGGGACCAGGGCTGGGCTTGTGGCTGGACCTTGGCTGGGGCACCTGTGGGGTGGCATTGTCAGACTGAGGGTACCCCAGGGTGGGAGCAGAGCCCTGAGCCCCGTGGCAGTCCAGAAAGCAGCAGGTTCCAGTCCTGTGCTCCCTTCTGGGTATGGCCCTCATGGCTCCACCCCTCGCTGAGCCATTTCCCCATCCATAAGGACAAGGATCTCAACCATCCAGCCGGCCCCAGCCCCCAGTGCATGACAGGCCACCACAAGCATGTATTGAATGAAGAGGATCAGATGGGCGTGTGAGCAGATGGATGAACACAGACAAGTGGGTGGGTGGACGGGCGTTGTCGTGGGTGAGGTCAGCGGTGTAGTTCACGTGGAGCCAGAGTCCCCAGCGCCCTCCCGCTCATCCCCGACCCCATTCCAGGCCCAAGGCAGCTGCTAGAACAAATTAGTCCCAACCTACCACAGCTTTTGCCAGTTTTCTTTAGTGGCCACCCTTTTGGGAAGTGTCCCTGGGATCACGTGGCCCCATTTCCAGTTGAGAGCACCGAGGTCCACAGAGGTGATGTCCCCGTGCCGGGTCTCACTGGGGGGTTCCTGTGCCTCGTTTTCCCTCAGGAGCATCCAGGACCAACTGAGGCAGAGCTGCAGTCCTCCCTGGTCCTGGGCCTGTGGGACGGTCCTTTCCCTGCCACCTGAAACCCACCTCCCAGCCGGCTGTGGTTTGGGCACCGAGGACTGCCCTAACTGCTTGAAGTCATTTATTTACGACACAATTTATGTACAAAACGTTCCATTGGTTGCTGTTTGGTAAAAGGTTGTCTTTTCGGCTTGGGTTTGAGGAGTTTGTGGGACTGGGCGGGTTCCTGGTGTAGCGGGCGGAGCTCCACAGTCCACAGGCTGGGAAAGTCCCGGCCACCTGGGTCCCTCCCGGCCCCCGTGTGGTCCCAGGGGTCGACCTGGAAGCTGAGATCAGGAGGCGGGGCAGGCGGGGCTCTGCTGCCAGGGGGCAGGTCCCCAGCCCAGCCACTCCTGGGCCTCCTGTCCCGGGCAGCGTCTCTGACCTCAGCCCTCCATCCCCAGGCCCCGGCACATCTGCCAGACCCTCCTGGCCACTTGGCCCAGCTTGGGGAGCCGGGGGGTGGGGTTCTGGGTGCTCTCCCGACGGCTCCGGGGCCATGGAGAACCGGCCCATCTCGGGCTGTCCTCGCTGTCTCCCCGGAATCACCATAGGATCTGAGACAGAATTCTGTTCTCTCAGGACTCCCCAACCAGTTGGGGCTGACTGTGTGGCCTCCGCACCCCAGCCTGTGACCAGCAGTGCCCAGCCTGTCTACATATCCTTGGCTTTTGAGGCTTGTTGCTGTATCTGCAGGGAGCTTCGGGAGCCTGTGTGGGACTCGGGGTTAGGCCTGGAGCCTCCCTTCCTCCCTCAGTGAGCGCCCAGGGCAGCAGGGGTGCGGGTCCCTCACCACCGGCTGGCATGCTGCCCCCTGCCCCAGGCCACCTGCTTCACATGCGCAGACTTGGCTCTGCAGGAGGGCAGGGTGTCAGCTGTGGGTCCCCGTGCTGGGGAAGGGGTGCCGGGCGCCTCATGCAATATTGATGGAAACGCAATATCCAGAGGTCGCCATGCTGGCCTCTTCCCAAGCTGGGCTCAGGGGAGGTGGTGAAAGCCGCGCAGGGCGGCCTGTCCCTGCCCCTGGGGAGCCGTGGGTCTCAGGGGAGGTAGCCCGGGGAGCCAGGCCGGATCGGTAGTGGTGAGATCCGCCCTGTGGGAGGTGCCCCCTCCACTGGCGTGGCTGCAGGACCTGGGTCCACCCGCTGCCCAGCGCTAGCCCTGCCTCGACGGCCCCACCTCAGCCTGGGCCACGTCTTCCTGCTCCCTGGCCCTTGGGCACCCCTCTGCACAATGAAGGATTGGGCCTCTCTGACAGGGGGCGCTCCTGGCTGCAGGGCCGGGTTTGAGTGAGGTCCCGGCCAGGTGGTGGCAGTTGGGAACAGCAGTCCTGGATGACGAGCACGACCCTCCAAAGTGGGGGAGCCCAGCCCCCCAGCACCCCCCACAGCACCCACCTGTCCTGCTTTCCCCTGGCCCTCTACTCACGCCCACCAGGGTGGGAGAGGCTCTTCCTGGCTGGGGAGCACTGGCCAGTTTGCAGCATCTCCGAGCCTCAGTTTCTCTCACCTGTTCAATAGGATAGAAGAGCCTCGTGGCAGGAGGTGCTCCTCAGACACCCAGCGGGTGCTCATTCCTTCCCCTAGGTCAGAAGGGCTCCAGGACCCTTTCATCTTCGCTGGGGAACTGAGGCCCACAGAGGGCAAGGGACTCCCCTGGGCAGCCTCCTCTCCAGGGAGGGGTGGGGCCCGGCTGTGCAGCCAGTAACCGAATCTCAGCCATGGTGACCGGAGTCCGGCACCCATCTGTGGGTCATGATTTTCTCAGCCCGGGTGGCATTACAGGCCTGTAACCCGGCTCACCACAGCTGTCCTCGATGTATAATGCATGGCAGGCACAGCATTGCTCAAATCTCACCAAAAACACAGGAAAGGAGGCGGCAGGCCACGGGAAGGACCCAGCCCAGGCCCAGCCGACCGCCGACCTCAGGGCAATTGCCCGATTTGGGGGCCGTGCGTGCCCAGCCGTCAGGACCCGGAGGTCGGAGCCCCACGTCTGAGCTCCTTTAGCTCCCAGCAGACTTGTTAGTGTCAGGATGTGGGTTCTCCCACTGCCTGGGAAACAGCACAGCAGATGGGGCTTGGGTGGGACTCCCAGGTGAACACCATGCCAGTGAGGTCTGAGCCCCCCAGTTCTCACCTTCCTGACTTACAGGTGGGGAAACCGAGGCCCCGGGAGTGACTCCCTCACACTTCTCCTTGGAGAGTGGGGAGCAGGATGTGGCCCGGGGCCAGGAGAGTGACACGAGGTCCCCCAGGCTCCGGGTGCTGCACTGGGGCCAAAGTCCATTCCCCTGCACCCCAAACCAACTTCCTGCCTCTTTGGTCTTCCCCTGCGCTCTGCGGGGGGAGGGGAGCTTCTTGCCCCTGACCTCTGAGAGCAGATTCCTTTAGGGAGAGGGGCCCCTAAGGCAAGAAGGGAGGCCCCCCGAGCTCAGCCATCCTCTGTCAGACTGACAGCCAGCTTCTCTAGCTGTGCCCCAGGCTCTGGGGTCTGACTCAGCCCTGCTTAAAGCTCGCAAGCTGGCCGATATCTGCGTCATGGACGCTGGAAGAAGACATTAGAGTTCTGGGTCCAAGACACACTGTAGAGAGCAAGCATCATGTTTTATTGGGTCCTCCCCCCCCCGCCAGGTCCCTGCGTGATGCGATATGGGTCCAGATGGCTACCGTGCACACGGGAGGTTTGTGTCACTGCTGAGCCTGGAGAACCCCCATTTTATAGCGAGCAATAAGATCCTTCTGGGTCCCTCCCTCCAAATGCAGCCCTCAGAAATGGCCATGTAAAGAGTAGTCAGGGCTTTGCGTCCTCGGTGGGAGTGCGAGAAACCCAACCAGTGTCAGGGCCTCCCCTGCCCCCAGAGGCCCACCCATCTGCCTCCTCCTTTAATGCTGATGCCCCCGGACCTAAGGATTCAAGAGGCTCCCGGAGCAAGGACTGGGGTCTCAAATAAGATTCTGATCCCGGCTCTACCACATCCCAACCTTGGGGCCTTGAGGAAGCCCCCTGCCCTCTGTGAGCCTTGGTTTCCCCGTCTGTGCCCTGGGGGCTACACTGGGGGTGGAGGCATTGTACTGGGGCTTTCCTCTGGCTAGCCTCTCCCTCTCCTGTGACCCAGGGATCTCAGGTCTCGCCCACATCCCCAGAGGGTCTGCTCCCCCGGCCCCTGCCCTATGGAGGATGAAAGTGCCATAGTAAGGGATCCCGCACCTAGCCCCAAGCCCGCCTGGCCACCTGATACCTCGGCCTTCAAATATTAATGCGACACCTCCCGCTCCCAGGGGCAGCAGCTGGGACAAGCCCTGACAGCCCCAGACAGCTGCAGCTCCCTGTGCTCAGCCCAGCCCCTGCCTCTGTGGGTGCCCCCGGGCCGGGGGCCAGCGGACCACCCCCCCCAACGGAGCCCTGGGGCTCCTGGGCTCTCCACATGGATTCCTGGAAGGACCGAGGTGTGAGGTGCGTGGTGGCCAGGCAGGTGCGGTTTCAGGCTGTGTTCCTTCTCAGCGGCCACAGGGGGCGGAGGGTCCTGGATGGGAGAGCAGCTGAGGGGCTGGAGGCAGTGGGTGCAGGTCAGGGGTTCTCCTGAGGGCGCCCCCAAGCTGGGGTGGCCCCTAAGGTCTGTGCCTCCTTGCCAGGAGGTGGGATCGGGAGATGGGACTGAGCTAGGGGACCCTCAGAGTGCCCAAGGGGTTTGCCACAGCAGGACCGGCTACATCGCGCGCCGGGCCAGTGCAAAATGAAAACTCGGGCTTCTTATTCAAAAATGATGAAGCATTTTAAGACAGAGGCAGCAGATCATTAAACTGAGTGGCAGCATGGGCCATACCCTCTTGGGGTCCCAGCCCCAGGCCACACATCCATGTCCTGCCCAGGGCTGTCTCCAGCACCGACCTGGAGGCATGTCCCACCTCCACTGCCCACAGCAAGGAGGGGTGAGGAGCTGCAGTCTGACAGCCGGACTGGGGTGCTCAGAGGGCCCGCAGCTGTGGTCCTGCCTGCTGGAGAGGCAAGTGGGGGCAGCCTTGTGGCAGGAGGGCCTCACGGTGATGCTGGTGCAGCTGCGAGCCCAGGAGATCCCCCACCCCGCCGCCCCGAGAGATGGGCTTGGCCGGACTTCAACTTCTCAGCTTTAAACCAAAAAGTGACAAGCTTGGCTCGGGTGTCCTCCTGGAGAATTTCTCTGCTACGTAAGGAGGGACACGAGGAGGCAAGCGCACTGCTGCTGCTCACAACCCCCGGGTGTCAGCAGCCTGCTCGCTAGGTCAGCCAGGCCAGAAGTCTTGGCTTCCGGTGGTCAGTCCCGAGCTGAAGCCGCTCAGGGCTGAGCTGGGGAGATGCGTCAGGTCAAGGGCTCCTCCTGGCTGTGACCAGTCAGTTTCCCGCTGGCAAGAGAGGTGGCCACAGTCAGGTCTGTGCCTTGCCCTGGACATGGGGCAGGGCGTAGGGGTGAGTTCTGGGGGCCCCTGCAGTGCCAGGGGCCTGATCTTGGTGATCTCTGTTTCCCCGTGGCCTTGGGGAGGGGGGCGGCCTGGACATTGCATGATGGGTCCTGGACACAGCATGCCAGCTCTGGGGTATATGGCCATAGCCACACAGCCCCCGCTTGTGGGTCTGAGAAGTGTTCCAAGTGCCTCACAGTGCTCCCTCTGCTCTCCTATCAGAGAGGGGAGCCGTTCTAGGCCGTTTGTCTCAGCACAGAAGTCGGGGACAGTGAGGGAGGGGTGTGCACGTGCGCGAGTGTACAGAGGTGTGTGTGTGTGCACGCATGTCTCATAAGGCCAAAGAGAGGTAAGCGTAAGCCGGACACCCGGCTCCGACCCAGCACCCGGAGCTGCCGGGTTGAGCTGCCTCCAGAGAAAGGCTGTGAGCCAGGCCGTTAGATGAAGGGGGAGTTCACCTGGTGGTGCTGGTGATGGCAGCCTCCCCACCCAGGGAGACTGGGTCAGGATTAGCCTGCTCCATGCTCCCCACCGCCCTGGCAGGATTGCTGGCAACCCATGTCAGGCCCACTTGGGCCTCCTGCTGACCGGGTCTGTCCGCCCCCAGGTGCGGCTCCTGATGACGCCACCGCCACCTCCGTTTCCGCCCCCTCCGCTGTCAGCCGCCAGGCACTCCCAGGAGGATGGGACAAGGGGCTCGGGGCTCGGGAGTCCCACCCGTGAGTACACATCTCCAGGGAAGACTGGCCTGGACCGTGGGTGCTGCCGGCCTCACCTCCAAGGTCCCTCGAGGGGGTGGGCTGGGGGAGCAGCGGGCTCCAGGAGCTGGGCAATGCCACACAGTGAGGCCAGAGCTGGAGCCAGTGCTCCCGTCACCCAGCCCCAGCTGCTCCCAGATTTCCTTCACTGCCTTGGTTGCTTCCTTAAAGTGAGGATCAACATTTTCCTTGATGGACACTTGTCATTGCAATTAAATGGCCCCCTGCTCCACCCTCCAGGGTCCCTCTGTGAGCTCGGAGCCCCCAGGGCCTGGCTGTCCTCTCTGTGTGATCCTCAGCAGCCTCGTTCCCTCTCTGGGCTTCGGCTTGTCCAGAGGTAAATCTCGAAGGTGAGGTCACTAGGGCCCAGGACTCTTCTGGATCTGAGGCTGCTGGTCAGAGACCCCAGCAGGTGGAGCATCCGTGGGCTAGCAGAGGCAGGTCACTGATTCTTAGGGAACTGGGACCATTTTAGCAAAATGAAATGGACAGCATGAACAATATCAGCAGGCCCCATACTCATGAGGGTAAGCACCGCTTCATGCATGGGTTGTGGTTATATAATCACATGCAATGTGTTCGTGCGTGTGTGTGTGTATGTGTGTGTGTGTGATGCAGGATGTGTTTCTCGGTTGGGGTGTGGCCCTGGGGAGGGGCAGTAAGAGGAGAGTTCTGATCTTTTGCAGTCTGATGGGGCTGCATTAGGTCCCCAGACCACCCAACCCAACCCTCTGCCCTTCCCAGCTCGAGGGGTGAGGGGAGTAAAACGCAAGCTCTCCAACTGGCCAGGCTTGGGGAGCTCCGCCGGGGCCCATGGACGCCCTAGCAATGAATCAGTCTGCTGGGCCCTGGGGCATTTGTTGGGGGACTGGCTGGGTCTTTGGCTCCAAGTCTAGTGGTCGGAAGGCCAGTTCTGCCCCAGGCCCAGGGGTTTCTATGCCGATCCCCTGCCTTCTCAGGGAAGCCCCCTGACTCTGCTTCCCCCCTCCAGCAGTGGTGACTCCCAGCCCAGCCTGGCCTGACCAGCCTCTTCTGAGGGAGCAGACGATCTGTGCAGCACCTCCACGGGTCACCACCAGCACCATGGCCGTGCCCACGGTATGCCTCCCAACTCCACACGCTTGCCCTCCCCCCCCATCTCCCCAGCCAACCCTCAAAGCCCGGCTGGCCTCCTGTCACAGAGTCCTATGTGCACCCAGGCCAGGTCACTTCTGGGGCAGAGATGCAGTTGTCCATGGGTGGGTGGGCGGGCCTGGGGTCTACTGCCCTCCTCCTCAGGGGCTCCCACCCAGCCCAGGACCCACTGGAGGAGGCTGGCTCCCCTTTCTCCTTTTCTTTCTGGGCATGAGGACTTTATAAATCCAGCTCACCCTTTCCTTGAATGGGTCCTGGAAACTCTCAGCCCCTGAGATGTTCTGTGCAAGTTTGGGAAATGCTGCATGGTGCTGTCCCTCTTGGAGAGTTACAGGGCACACTTAAAGGCTCTGACAAGTCCTGCAGTTCAGAATTGGCCACCAGACTTTCTCTATGTAACTGTACCCTAAGCGCGTTTGCTCATCCACATGGCAACCTCCTCTCTGCCATGTACAGAAGAGGGGAGGAATCTCTGGTTGCCTCCCAGCCAGCGGGCCCCCCACGCACATACCTGGATCCCACAGCGGACCCTGGGGATCCCTGCCTTCAGAGGCCAACGCTGGGTCTCCCTGGCCTACCCCCTCCCCCTCCTCCCTGGGCCTTGCTCACCCCGTGTGGCCCTCCCCACCGGCTTCGGGCGGGGTCCCCTCCGAGCCCTGAGTGACCAGCCTGAGTCCGCACAGGGAGAAATGGTGGCGGGAGACGCCCCGAACTGCCTGGCGGTGCTGCAGCTGGACAGGCTGCCCTCGGGAGACCTCGACGGGCTGGTGCCCACGCGGGACGAGCGCGGCCGGCCCATCCCCGAGTGGAAGCGGCAGGTGATGGTGCGGAAGCTGCAGGCGCGCCTGGGCTCAGAGCCCGCGCCCCAGGCCCAGGTGGGGCCCGGTGGGTCAGGGCGGGGCGTGAGAGGGGGCGGGACCTGGCTGAGTGGGGGCGGGGGCCCAGCGGGATAGGGGGCGGGGCCTGGCTTGGAGAGGGCGGGGCTCGGCGGGTGAGGGGCGGAGTGGGGCCACTGGGTAGAGTGGAGGAGGCGGGGCGGGAGGCTTTGTCCTGGCAGGTAGACGTGGAAGGTGGGGGGCCTGAGCCCACACCTCGAGTCTGGAAACCCAGGCACCCCGCTGCGTGCCCCTCTGTGGCCCCAGCTTCCTCCTCTGACAGACGGTGACGTGGAAGCAGATCAGGGAGCTGGGGCCTCCTCACCTGTGTCAGAGGTGCTACAGCCACATGTCCTTTTGTCTAACGATTTTCACCCCACCTCTGCCTTGTGCCAGGCCCTGTGCCAGGCAGTGAAGGGGACCGGCCCTGCCCTCCCAGCCCTTATATTCCAGCAGGGAAGGCAGGGTGATTGGGCAGGGCAGGTGATTCCAGGTGTCACGGAGAGAAGCAGAGCCGCGCAAAGGGGAGTGGGTATTCCGTCTGGGTGCTCAGGGGCAGCCTCTCTGAGGAGGGGATCTTGAGCAGGAGCCAGAAAGAAATAAGAGAGGAAACCTGTGGGACTTTGGGACAAGTGACTCTAATCAGAGACAACATATGCAAGGGTCCTGAGGCATGAATAGGCTGGTACCTCGGAGCAGAGTGAATGAGGTATCATGGGCAGAGGTGAGGTCAGAGAGGGAACAGGTGGGTATCACAGGACGGCTCACCATCAGGCCCCAGGGGAGCCTTTGGGAATCCGAGCAGAGAAGCTGTGATTTGACTTGGGTGGTAGCAGGCTTCATCTAGCTGCTGGGGGACATAGAGGAATAGGATTTTGTCTGAATGATGAGTGTTATACAGCCCTTGGTCAGAGCTACTCCGTCTCACGCAGCCATGCTAGCCACATGTGGCCATTTAAATTAATTAAAATGAAACAAAAGTCAAACTCCCGCTTCTCAGTTGCACGAGCCACATTCCATTTCTGTAGCCACGGGTGGCTGGTGGCTACGTGTCATCCTCACCTGGCATGTTGAGGGAAGTGGTGTCTCAGCCTGGCCAAAGGCTTCGTCCCTGGGTGGCTCCTCTCCGTGCCCTTGGGTCTGCTGGGCCAAGGAATCAGGACTTATCAGAGCAGAGCCCTGCCTTGCAGCAGGCAATCTTGGGCCTCTGAGCAACCAGGGGGTGGCTCAGGCCCCTCCCCTGTGAACTGCGGCCCCTCCCTCAGGGGGCTCTGAGCTGTAATCGGGCTGGCACAGAGCCTGAGCCCAGAGGGAGCCCAGTGCAGGGTCCCTCTGTGTCTGTCCCAGAGGCCGTGGGCCTGGGGGGCGGGGCTGGACCCTGGTGCCAGGGCAGCCACCAGGAGAACCCAGAGCAGAGTGGGAGAAGCCGCCCTCTTTGGAGGCTGCTACCCAACCACAGAAGGCTCTGGAGCTTGGGGGGAGGGCCTGGGAGGGCTCTGAGGAGAGAGACCCTTTGGATTGGATGGTGAGGAGATGAGATTGGGAGGATGTGGGGGTGGCAGAGCAGAGGTACCGTCTTCTGAGGGCAAAGACTGGGCCCCCACAGGGCAGAGTGGCTGCCCTGAGCCTCAGACTTGGGACCAGGGCTGGCCAGCCTCCTTGTTTCTGCTCTAAATCTGGGCAAGGGCCAGCTGGTGTGTAGGGGCTGGGCTAGGGTCCCCAGGGGCACCTAGGGCCAGGCCACCCTCAGGGGGCTTGTGTCCAGCAAGAACATGCCCTGTCCCCGCTGCAAGGCAATGGGGGCCTCAGCCCCTGCTGACCTGGCCTCCCTGTGCCCAGGGTGAGAGCGGGAGCGTGGGCCCCGCAGAGCAGGCAGCCTGGCGGTACTCACAGACCCACCAGGCCATCCTGGGCCCCTTCGGGGAGCTGCTGACGGAGGACGACCTGCTGTACCTGGAGAAGCAGATCGCCGACCTGCAGCTGAGGCGCCGCTGCCAGGAGTATGAGAGTGAGCTGGGCCGGTTGGCGGCCGAGCTGCAGGCCCTGCTGCCCACCCCCCTGGTCAGCATCACGGTCAACAGCCACTTCCTGCCCCGGGGACCCGCACCAGAGGGTGAGGAGGCCCCCGCCCCAGTGGCCGAGCCCAGTGGCCCCACGGGGGCCTCGGAGGCCGCTCCGGGTGAGCAGCCCCTGCCCTTCTGGTGCAGCCACATCGCCCGGCTGGTGCGCAGCATGTCCCTGCTGCTGAAGGGCATGAACGGGCTGGTGCAGGGCGAAGAGAAGCCCACGGGCCGGCCCCCGCAGGAGGCCCGCAGAGAGGCCCCTGCCAGCCCCCCCAGGAGCGCAGCACAGCGCGAGATCCAGGAGTGCGGGGTGTCCGTGCGGACGCTGCGCGGCAACTTCGAGTTAGCCCCTGGCCCGCCCTGCGCCCCAAGCCCAGGCCCCTGTGAGCCAGGGGCCCGGCCTGGGCAGTGCCGGAGAGGCGGCTGGCCCTCAGCCCCGCAGCCCTGCGGCGGCCCAGTGGGAGGGGGACCCGGGGCGGGCGACGCAGAGGAGGCCAGCGACTCGGGCATCAGCTGCGAGGAGGGCCTCTCGGAGGCGGGAACCGTGCCCAGCGCCGACCTGGCCAACCTGCGCAAGGAGCGCATCGTCATGCTTTTCCTCAGCCACTGGAAGAAGTCGGCCTACACACCAGCTCTCAAGACGGCGGCCTGCAGGACCCTGGAGGCCCGCCGGGCCAGGCCACAGGCACAGGAGGCAGCGGGGGGCTCTCGGCTGCTCTCCCCGCCGCCCAGCGGGGGCCCCCCGCTGGGCCAGCTGTGGCAGCAGCGGAGCGCCATCGCCCACCTTCTGGGCACCTGGAAGGCCATCCTGGTGCACGTGCCGGCCCGGCAGCTGCGGCGGCTGAGCCGGCGGCCCCGCGGGCCCCTGTCGCCTGAGCAGTTCCTGCCCCACGTGGACGGGGCGCCCATGCCCTACGGCAGCCTGACGCTGGACCTCTTCATGCTGGGCTACTTCCAGCTCCTGGAGTGTGACCTGCCGGCCGAGGAACGCAAGATGCGCCACCTGCTCTGCTTCGAGGTCTTCGAGCACCTGGGCGCCCACGGCTGGGAGACCGCGCGGGCGTTCCACAAGGCTGTGACCGACGAAGTGGCCGCCGGCCGCCGGACCTGGACCGACGGCTTCGAGGACATCAAAGCCCGCTTCTTCGGCTCCAGCCGAAGTCCTGCCTGGGACCCGGAGCCCGGCCGCAAGTCAGGCCTGACGCCCCTCGGGCCCCTGCCTCATGCCGCCGCCCCCAGCGGAAGCCCCGAGCCTGCAGCACAGAGGCTGGGGTCCGGCCACCAGCGCGGCAGCTTCAACAGTGAGGACATCTGCGGCTACATTGACCGGAGCTTCGCCTTCTGGAAGGAAAAAGAAGCTGAGATGTTCAGCTTTGGAGAGTGAGACAGGCGGGCGGCCGGCCTTTGGGAATGTGGTGTCGGGGGTGATTTTGGTTTTCTCCGCTCTTTTCCCCTTTGTCACTCACCTGACGGCCAGGTGAGCAGCAAGACCAGGCTGGCAGATGCTGATGCCCGCCTCCAGTCCCACCGCGACCGGCTACCCAACCCCCCCCTCCCACCCCCCCCCCCCCCCCCCACCCCCCGTGCAGCTCAGTTTCGGAATCCTCGCTGAGAGCCCCGTCGGCCTGGAGTTGGAGGACTTGACCTCCCGGCCCGGGCCCTCCGCCCCAGGGTTCTGCGGGCCCCTCGGGTGCTAGCCCGTTTCCCGTGGGCCCTCCTCCCAGGGCCCCTTCTGTCCCACCCCACCATCCCTCCAGCGCTGGTGGCCCCAGCCACTGCCAGAGCCTCTCTGTCTGCCTCCTTCCGGTGACCTTGGGCCATGCCCTTCCCCTCCCCAGGCCCCTGTCCCCATCTGTGGACTGGGAGAGCTGCGGGTTGGAGCTTCCTGTCAGGCCCTCCCAGATTCTCTGGGGCAGAGAGATGGCCCACACAGGGGTGCCGGCCAGCCAGAGCAGCCACCTGCTGCCAGACGCCGGCTCTGCTGCCGTGCCCTGCCCCCACCCCGGGGTCCGCAGAGGAGCTGGTCCCCGAAGGGAAGGCTCCTTTGCGCCTGCTGTCCCGTCCTCCGGCTGACCAGCCCCGCAGGCCAAGGCAGCGCCAGGGCCCCCGCTGCAGGCTCAGGAGGGCAGGGACGGGAGGGAGTTTTCCCAGAGAAGCAGTGGCCAAAGGGAGCTCCGAGCAGAGGGGACTGGCGCCTCTCCCCCCTTCAAGTGGGAGCTGTTAGACCCAGAGGGACACATGGCAGAGGGAAGGCGGGGCATGGCACTTTCTGTGGCCCCTGGATGTCGTCCACAGCCTTCTCCACGAGGGACCAAGGGAAAAGCTGGATCTCCTCAGAGGGCATCGCAGGTGCCACAGCGTTCTGAGCGAACAGGGCGCTAGGAGCACTAGGGACAAAGCCCCGCATGGCGGGCCATGGGATGCGGCTTGTCCCCCGCCCCCATGACAGCCAAGAGGCTGGGTCCCCACCCAGGCCGTCGGGGCCAGGGATGGCTGGCCCGGAAGCAGGGGGCTTTAGGGGAGAGGCGTAGCTCGGCTGTGCGGTGGCCCCAGCAGGCAGTGTGTCCGGGAGCCCCCTCCCGGCAGCCCTGGGCCCTCGGGACAGAGGTCCCTGCAGTGTCCTCACCTGCTTGCAGAGCTTGGAGGGCGGCAGGCTGGGTGTCGGATGGGGCACAGAGCCCTCCCAGCCAGCCCGCTGGGACGTCCCGGAGGGGGTAGAGTCGGGGCTGCAGCGCTGGGAAGGGAGGGGGCGCTGGCTCGGGCTCCCCACCCTGCCGCGGAGCCGACACTGGAGGTGAGTTTGCTAAGAAAGCCTATTCCTGCGCGGCCTTCACGACTGTGCTCGTCGCCCCCTATGTCCACAGCGAGCGGAGAGCTGCCTGCGCCCAGAGGGAGTCCCGGCACTGGGTGGGCACTGAGCCCCAGTCCTGATCTGAGCTCCACGGCCGTACCAGAGGCAACACCCTTAGCCCACAGAGCCTCCCCTTCCTCATCTGCAGAAGGGGGTGTAGTACTGACCCGCCCACTCCCACAGTCTGGAGAGGGTGTACGGGTCCCCTGTGGGAGGGGTCTCCATCCTGAGACGGAGTGGGGTATAATGAGCAGGGCTCCATCCCCAGGCTCCTGGTCCCCAGATGGGACTGAGCTAGATGGGGGCCGGTCTGCAGGACGTTATCGCTGCCCGGACCTGGCGGCGGGGGGGGGGCAGGTCTGAGGGTGGGGCTGGGGAACCTGGTGCCAGACAGTCCGGTGTCTCCTTTGCTCCTCCTGAGCCACCCACAGGACCATGTTGTTCCAAGAACCTGGCCACAGAGGGGGGCCGGGAGGGGGTGGGCAGTGGACACAGGCGTGACCTCAGAGGTGGTGCCGGCCCAGGGTGCTCAGGAGAGCACTGGACAGGGGGCCAGCACACCTGACTTGGGGTGTCCCTACTCACTCCCTGGGGCCTTGGGCAAGTCCCTCCATGGCCTCAGGACTTTCTCAGGGGTGGGGTGGGACCAAAGCCAGCAGGGGGCGCCCAACAACCATGCTGGGTTCCAGGAAGCTCTGGGGTCAGGGTGGGCTGCCTGAAGAGGGGTGAGGTGGTGACTCAGACCCAGGTTTGAGGCCGGTGAGGAGGGAGAGGGAGCCTCTGCTGGGCACTCAGAGCTGACTCCACAGATGCCCTTTTGCAGACTGCTTCCCAGGGGTCTGGGCGGCGGCCCCAGGGATTCTGAGTCCCTCTGCCGGGGCTGGTGCTGGGAAAGCTGTGTTTTTCTAAGGCGTTCCAGGTGATTCTGGTGCTTAGAGGCCTGGAAACCCCCAGCCCACTAGCAGCTCCCCTATAGGGAGCAGGTGTTTCCTGCAGGAGTCAGAGGCTGACCCCAGCAAGGCCACACTCTCAGCTCTGAGGCCAGTTTGGTGCCTATAAGCCTGTCGTCCAGTGGGCAAAAACCCAAGAGCCCATATATAGGCACCCAGAGCTGCAGACTTCAGTGAGGTGATCTTTTTCATGGTGCGAACCCAGGAGCTCCCCAACAAGTGGCAAAATAGCGGAGATACTGGAGAGAGGGAACCCCCTCTTTCTCCCACAGATAACATAAATGTGTGTTGGACAAAGATGAAGGAAAATAAAGGTGTACCAAAGGTGCTGAAAGAACATTACCTTTTTCCGCATGACTAGAATAATTACGGCTAACGAGGCAGCTCTTTGCACCTCAACGCATAGGTTGAATGCAGAGTCAGTCTCTTCCTTCTTTTTTTTTTTTAAGATTTTTATTTATTTATTGGAGAGAGAGAGAGATAGCTAGAGCCCACAGGTGGGGGGGAGGGGCAGAGGGCGAAGCAGACTCCCCGCTGAGCAGGGAGCCCGATGCGGGGCTCGATCCCAGGACCCCAGGATCATGACCTGAGCCAAAGGCAGACGCTTAACTGACTGAGCCACCCAGGCGCCCCTCTTCCTTCTTTTTTTAAATGACTCTGAAGTTCATTTGAAAGGAACAGTGAACAAGGACGGCTGTGAGGCTGGCCTCCAAGAAGTCCTCCTGGGACCCCGTCCCCATAGCGCATCCTGTGTGCCCTTCCTGCGTTGTACGGCAGAATATGGCAGAAGAGACGGCTCTCTCTTCCGAGTAGGTAGTAAAGGCTCTCATCTTTGCTGCTCCCTTAGCTCTGGGGAAAGCCCGGGGCCATGCTGGAAGCAGCCCTGTAAGAGAGGCCCGTGCGGGGAGAAGTGAGGCCTCCCACCCCAGTCTGGCCCTCAGATGATGGCCGGACCCCTTGGTGCCAACTAAGGACAGATCCTGAGGCAGAACCCCTGCTAAAGTGCTCCCAGAGCCAGGAAACTGCGTGAGATCACAAGTGCTTGTTGTTTTAAGACACTAGATTTTGGGGGCACCTGGGTGGCTCAGTCAGTTAAGCATCTGCCTTTGGCTCAGGTCATGATCCCAGGGTCCTGGGATCAAGCCCCATGCCACGCTCCCTGCTCAGCGGTGAGTCTGCTTCTCCCTCTGCCTCTGTGATCTCTCTAGCTCTCACTCTCTCTCTCAAATAAATAAATAAAATCTTAGAAGACACTAGATTTGGGGGTCATTCGTCATGCAGCAACAGATAACTAATACAGCAAACAAGATTAAAGTGGAAGAGTCATTTTAGATATGAAGACTCATAATTGTAGAGCAGTAGTCCATCAAACCAGGTGGTTCTGACCCCAAAATACCTTTCGCTCAAATCAACAGACCAGAACAGAGGAAGCTGAGATACTTCACACAGAAAACATTGCCCTAAGACAAAGACGCCACAGCAAATCCATGGGGGAAAGAAGGAATGGTCAATAGTAGTCCCCAGAGTGTTGGTAAACTATTTGAGGGTGGGGGAGTAGGAAGTTAGGGCAGCCCCTGCCCCCCAAAAATCCCAGATGGAATAAGAGATGCTGGAAGCTGGCAAAGCTCTAAAACCCCCAAGGAGGGGCTGGGCAGGTCAGGTGCGCCAGATGGCCTCACCACCTGCAGGTGCCCTCCTGCTGGAGGAAGCGCCCCAGTCGCCATGCCAGCCTGCCCTCCGGAAGGTGCATCAAGCTGTAGAGATGAGCACACACTCTAACTTGGGGACTTCACCCTCTGACTCTGAATCACAGAGATGGCACCGTATCATTTCTCATAGTCCAAAATGACATGACCCAAATGTCCATTAATAGGAGTGACTGGATGTCCCTTCGAATTCTTAAAGTGTGATACGTTCACAGTATGATGAAATCGAAGATCATATTTTCAAAGACCGATTGCATCAGAAACGCTGGGGTTGTATAATATAAAACGATAAAATAGGATGCGCAAACACCCCCGCCGCCATCCGAACGTTGACGCGGGGAAGACCAGAGGGGAGATTCCCGTGTGTTCACGGGGATTGTCTTCTACTGGCCGAATTGTTCTGCTTCATATTTTCCTGTGTTTTCCAAATGCTCCACAAATGAACATGTGTTATTTTTATCATCAGAGAAGAAACAAGCAGCATATTTTTAAAGACTGCACCACTCTGTAGCAATCTGTTGATAAAGATCTGTTTCCAGCGCCTGGTATCTAGTTTCCCAAACTGACTAGTCATGTGAGGCACTAGGTCTGCTCCGTTAGGCCTCCAGGGGAGGCAGCTCCCGGTGACAGGGGCCTGTCATCAGAATACCCTGTCCTTTTTTCTCCAGCCTCGGCTTGGTACACATTTACCCTTTGTGTTCTGGCTACAAGCACAGGAGCAAGAATGACGCCTCTGTTCCCCCTCTAGTGGCCTCCCCAGGATGGTCCTGGATAAGTGAGAACTGGAGACGTCCATGAACATCCCCCTTCCCTCTGCGACCACATGAGGCTGATGCTGAAGGCAGGGAGATCCTGGGACCATCTGAAGCAGGGGCTG